GTTTAAATGGGAAAAAATCAAAGATAACGTCAGTAGACTATGGAGGATCGGTTTAGGCCCTCTGCTATTCTCAATATATATGCTGCCACTTGGTAATATTATAAGAAAACATGGAATTAACTTCCACTGTTACGCTGACGACACTCAATTATATATTTCATCACGACCAGATGAAAACACTAACTCATCTAAAATGACAGAGTGTCTCAAAGATATAAAATGCTGGATGACGCGTAATTTCCTGCTATTAAATTCAGATAAAACGGAGGTATTACTTATTGGTCCAAAAAACTACTCACAAAACCTCTTACAGTACAACTTTAATATAGACGGATGTCCTGTTACTTTATCCACTACAGTAAAATACCTGGGTGTTATACTAGACCGCAACTTGTCTTTCGAAAATCATATTTCATATGTTACAAGAACAGCCTTTTTCCACCTTAGAAACATTGCTAAGCTACGTAACATGCTATCTATTTCTGATGCAGAAAAATTAGTTCATGCATTCATGACCTCGAGACTAGATTACTGTAATGCTTTATTAGCCGGTTGTCCTGCATCCTCAATAAACAAGCTACAGTTAGTACAAAATGCAGCTGCTAGAGTTCTTACTAGGTCAAGAAAATATGATCATATAACACCGATTTTATCATCTCTACACTGGTTACCTATTAAGTTCCGTATCAACTACAAAATAATACTGCTGACTTATAAAGCCCTAAATGGTTTAGCTCCTATGTACTTAACGGATCTTCTCCCGCCCTACAATCCAGCGCGTTCCTTAAGATCACTAAATTCAAGGCGTCATTCCTAGGATATCGAAGTCCAGTAAAGGAGGGAGGGCGTTCTCGCATTTAGCTCCAAAACTCTGGAATAGCCTTCCCGATACGGTTCGAGGCTCTGACTCGCTGACACAATTTAAAACTAGATTAAAGACGTATCTCTTTAGTCAAGCATTCACATAATGCTTACCTATTAGTCCTCTGTTATGCCATACGGAACCGTTTGCCACTGAAACTGCTTAACGCACCAGTGGGGCTCGACAGCCTTTTAGACAAACGGGTCGGCGCGTATGGTTGGGTTGCGGAGAGTTTGGGTTACAGAGAGTTTGTGAGATAGTGGTTTTCTAACACCGACTCCCGTATAATGGAAATCATTATGAACATCAGCTATGCTAATTATTTCCCATCTGCCTTTCTGCTGTTAAAAATGCCGTTCGTCAGGTCCAGTTTTGTGTCCAGCCTCTCACAGGGATTTCGGATGCCCCAACGCCTGTGATGAGAAGACCAACACCTGTGAAGAGACGACTCAACGCCTGCGATATCATGTTATGGCGCCGTTTTATACATAAACAATATTTATATTTAATATTTATATATAAACAATATGAATGTAAGCCAGAGGAGAACTGGCCCCCGACTGAGCCTGGGTTCTCCCAAGGTTTTTTCTCCATCCAATCTGATGGAGTTTTGGTTCCTTGCCACTGTCGCTTTGCTATTGCCTTGCTTTTGGCTTGCTCAGTTGGGGTTATTTAGCGTTTAGCAATGTTGTTGATCTGTGTTGTACTACTTTCATGTTATCACTGTGAAGCTGCTTTGATACAATCTGTATTGTGAAAAGCGCTATATAAATAAATGTGACTTGACTTGACTTGACTTGACCTCTGACCTGTAGTGCTGCCTGAATCATAACCATAAACTGTTCATTCACTGGCCCCCAACTGAGCCTGGGTTCTCCAAAGGCTTTTGGCTTGCTTAGTTGGGAACATTTAATATTCAACAATATATATATTCAACAATAGTGGATATAAATCAATATATTGATCTGCCTGCATTGACAGCATTATATGAGAACTGAACTAAGCTGGACGATGACATCACGGTTTTCTCCAGAGTGGCTATATAACTAAATTAATAACTTAATAAATTAATAGCAAAAATGAATCACTGAACTTATTTTTTTTTTCTGTATTTTTTTACTGTTATCTCCAGTGGCACCTCAATGCAGCGCATGAGATCCACAGGGAGGAGTCGGATCAAGATCCAAGGGGTGGAGAACATGGGTAGGATTAGGGTTGGGTTTAGGGATTAGGGGTGGGTTTAGGGATCAGGGGGCGGAGTTGGGTAGGTTTAGGTGTGTGTAAGGTGGGAGGAGTTGGATCTGGATCCGACTCCTCCCCATGGATTTCATGTTCCGCAGTGAGAACCATCTGGTTATCTCTGTAAAGCTGCTCTGAAACACTCTGTATTGTAAAAGCGCTATATATATAAAGGTGACTTGACTAATGGCTGTTGCCCACAGTCCGCCCAAAGACACTGAACACCACTGAGGCAGTAGAGCCTTGAGTGCTCAGCCTTTTCTTCACAAATACAATAAATATTGGGATTTATATAATTTATTCTCCGATGACATAACAAAGGTTTATTTGGTGACACTTTATAGTGCTGTTCCTTCATTAATAAATGACTACACAGGAACAAATGGGTAACACACAATTAACATTCTACAAACAAGGAACATTGATTAACACATTAGTAAGTAATATCGCTCAGATGAATGTGGTAATTCACTATTAGCTCATCAATAACTACTATTTTTCATACCTCACTGAAGTCTATTAACTTTCAGAACTTATGATGCTCAATCATCACTCAATTAATCACTTTATTATCTCATTAACTTTAACACTGCTTCAGTGTTACTTATAACACTCTTGAGTGTGGACTTATATAAACACTGAGCAATGTAAATTTAGCACTGGGGATTTTGCTGTTTAAAGTATCAGGATTTAAAAAAATAAAATCAGTTTATTTCCATTACAATCAATAACTGTAATATAATGAAAGCCATTTGTTTTCTGGTAAAATAAGAATGACACCTTGCACTTGAAGAAAGCATGTATGAATGTATTCATTTTACAGTCAAGAAAACAACATTTGTGAAAATTACCTTTGATTTTGAGCTCAATCACAGCCCTTGAAATCTTAAGTTAATGTATTTTGAAGGTAAATACGTTATTTGAACTTATATATTTCAGTGACAGGGCCAAAATGCTAAATGTAAAGTAATGTTTAGTCAAGTACACTTGATTGTTTAAGTAAAGACCACATTAGGGTTTACGGTGTTGGATTTTGTCCTATAATAAAGCGGCTTATAAATAAAGCACAGGTGATGTATGTGTTTCAGATCTCCTAGAGCCTGCAGATCTGCTGAAATGATATGATAACTTCACCTGTAAACAGTTTTCAATTTGTAAATGGTTATGAAAACAAAATCAGCATTGTCCTTTCCTGAAGCACAGCACCACCTGCTGGTATCTTAGCACATGTGCACGCAGGTTTGTGGACGCTGATGTTTCCCAAATTTATTACACTAATTCTTCAATCCTCCCAAAACTGCGAGTGTATGTAATCTGTCCAAAATTATGATTTACTATATTTGATGTGACAACATCAAAAGTATTAATATAAATGCAAATTATTCCCAAAAATCTCAAATTGTATGACAGAGCACTGACATTTTTGGTTGGGAGACCGTATATAAGCACATAAGTGTGATTAAAATTATATTGTCCCACGTCTCAAGAATTAGAGAAGGATGAAAATTCTACATTATCATAGGCATATAATGCATGCCCCATCAAGTAGATCTTCTGTATAGCTGACTTCTTGAAATGGGAGACACTTCATGCATATGCTCTAGGGAAAACACAAATGTTTCTGTGTATCCTGCAAAAGCTGAGATCTTTTTGGACGGAGTACACAGGATATTGTCACCGGACCTGTAGGGGAAAGATGAAGAAAATAATAGTTAGAATGTGGTTTCTGTGGTATGCAGCATGAAAGACCTGCCTGTTGTGTCTTGCAAAAGACAGTTTCTAAAATATGACAGTTTGTCTGATATATTTAACCCTGCCTGCAGAGACATAAAGACATTATCTTTCACATTTTTAGTCACATATAGGGGAAACAGAAGATCAGAAATAACTTTAATTTATTAACCCTTCCTTCCTTCTCTTGAATGTCACTACGTCAACAGGAACTAATGATCAAATCTAATCATTTTAAGGTAAATAAAATGAATAATCTCCCATAACAATTGCATTAAAAATAGAAAAATTATTATCAAAATGAAATAAATAAGCTTTCTGGGCAAAGTATAATTTTAATTAATTAATTAATTAATTAAGAAAGAAAGAAAGAAAGAAAGAAAGAAAGAAAGAAAGAAAGAAAAAAAGAAAGAAAGAAAGAAAGAAAGAAAGAAAGAAAGAAAGCACTTTGACCTTTGCTTTTTTTAATATATATTATTTAGATTTCAACTAAAAATTATGGAATTGATTAAGGGTCTAGACTTAACAAGCTGTAAATACCATATATTCTGTGTTGAATTATAAAATAAAATAAGGAAAAGTGTGCGAAATTCAAAGAAGAACAAAAAAAATAGGTTAAAGATCAACGGAGCAAAGATGTTAAATGAAAAAAGTCAGTATCCATTTTGCAAGATGTAAACAACACTGGTCCAGAAGCACTTCCTGTTTCAGTTTTTTAACACTATATAAAAGCTGGGATAAAATACAACCAACAGAACATATAAAACTGAATCAAAAAGTTAAACAAAAATCTATCTTTAAGATGTTTTCTTTACATGTGAAATAAAGAAAACAGTTACAAACTGAAACAGGAAGTGTTTCTGAACCAGTGTTGTTTACATCTTGCAAACACTTTCATTACCCAACCAAATTGACTGAAAATCTATAAATCTACCCCCCAAAAAAGTACAGGATACACCTTATTATAACTATATTATGCAATTGCAAAATTGATTGAAATTTATCAGGAGAGTTGTGCCCCAGTTTTTTATATTTCTAATCAGCTAATTTAATCAAATTCCTGTAAAAAGTCACTTCAACCGGCAGGATGAAAGCATCACTACACTGTGTCTTTAAGGAAACTCGTCACTGTGTTTCAGAATGACGGAGAGCAAGTCCCAGCATGCATCACTCCACTTCGATAGTATAACCTGCGGCGGGTATTTTCCATGCGACTATGTCTATTCAAAAAGTATAATTTTTTGCATGCTCCGGGAAAGTTTTTGCCTATTTTACAGACTCATATTTTTAGTATTCGCGTTTTTTTTTCTAATTTGAACACCTGAACCTCTGAGTTCAGAGAGAAGAAATAATGAAAGTAACAGCAGTGACTGTGCAGCCCGCGCGCCGTGAGCTGTGTGGAGTGGAGCGCGTGCTGTAGACACACTTCAGCACTGCTGTCACATTAGTTCGGTTGAGGTGTGTGTATGTGTGTATGTGTAAGGGATGCGGCGGGAGGTTACTGGAGAAACCGGCACAAACTATCTAAATACGAATAGTTTCATATCCATAACTTGAAAAATCTCTGTGAATATAAGACCTGCTGTGATCATGGTGAGCGCTCGTCCTCTCGCTGTGATCTTCATCCTGACATCTGCGCTCATGTGCTGCTTCACCAACGCGGCCAAACTTAACATACCTAAAGTGTTATTACCTCTTGCCAGAAGCACAAAAATCAATTTCACTCTGGAAGCAAGTGAAGGATGTTATCGCTGGTAAGTGCATTAAGTAGGCTTGTAAAGGAACATGCATTTCTTGTGTAATATTGAATACCTTGCCCGGTTGTAACATCATGTTTTTGACATGTCAAATGATAAAGTACAGTAGACCACATTAGACCCCTTATCTATAAAAGAGTAACTTAACTAGAACAATATATGTATTACTATAAGGATGAGTTCAGAAAGCTCAAGCACGTGGTGCTGTTGTGACGTGTTTGTTATAGTTCCTCATGCTCAAATCTCACTTTTTCAATTTCTGTACTTTGTAGATATTTTAAAATGTGATATTTTAATATATTTTAAAATGTGATAAATGTCATGCTAAATACTAAGAGTTGCATTTTATTTTAACAATTATTGCACTTTTTTGCACAGCTATCTCAGTCATATATTATCTTTATTTATATATTTATAAGTTTAGTTTATTATTGATATCAGATTGTACATTGCACTTTGCTTGCTAGGAAAACTCAACTACTGGTAAAATGGAAACATTTTACAATAAGGTCAATAAGGTTTTACCTCCTCTTCACTCTATATTCAACAAAATAAATAATGTTCAAACAAGCAAGGAAAATTATTCTGGACCCTTTCATGCAGAATTGCAACCACTTCCGTTTGGTCTTTAACTATTAACTAAGATAATAAATACTAAAGAAGTATTTTCATTTTAATTGAAACAATGTAGGAAACATGGAACCTTATTGTAAAGTGTTACTGGTGAAATGTGTGTTACATCCTGTTAAAATGCATACAATTCTAGAACCTTAAGCCCCTCTCCGGAGCCCTGTGTATTACCTGTTTTAATGCGTGTTGTGTCTTCAGGTCGTCGAACCGGCTGGAGTTGGTATATTATACATCTATTAATGCATGTTGTATCCTCGGGTCGTCGAACTGACCGGAAGTGCTATATTATACCTGTATAAATGCATGGTGTGTTCTCAGGTCGTCGAACCGGCCGGAGGTGGCCAGCGTGGAGGCGGTAGATGTTGACGAGCGCCAGTGTTCTCAGAGGGCTGTCCTGCAGGCGCGCTCTACTCAGCCCTCCCGCCTCACCAGCATCATCCTCGCTGAAGACGTTTGTGAGTCACACACACTGGGGCTTTCTTATTGTTGGGTAGCTTTGTCATTCCTTGTTAGTTTGTAACGTTATGATTGATCATTACAGAGACAATGTGCTATGAACTATTATATCAGTTATTAATTCATCTCTCCCACACAATTATAGTGAACTGAGACTGCAGCTTTTGAGCTTCAGACAGGATAAGTACCGTAAATATATAAAAGTTGTCCAAATGTCCTAGGTGCTGTATTAAAAGCCATCTAAAATGATTATATACACTGCCCTGCAAAAAAAGGCTCTGTTTGAATCAGTGTTGTTTTTGGCAGCCCTTTTAGTTTTAGTCTTAGTTTTAGTCACATTTTAGTCACTTATAAACTTAATAGTTTTAGTCAAGTTTTAGTCGACGAAAACACAAAAGGTTTTAGTCAAAATTTAGTCGACGAAAACACCAAAAGGTTTTAGTCAAGTTTAATCAATTTTTGTAAAAAAAAAAAAAAAAAGTAGTCTTTAACAAATTAATTTAGTTTAAAAAGTAGTGGAAATGGGCTTAGGTTTGACAGATTTAGCAAGTGTTGCAGTTCATAAAACAAGCTAACCTTACAACCTTTGCATAATAAACTAGACTTTCTCACTGATGGAGATGCAGTGCTGCCATTGCCAAGCTGTACTTCATTGTCACATTGGGCAGAAACCTTTTATCCCCATATTTCAAGTTATAGTTTTACCCCTGAATATTAAAAGTTATTTTCACCAGTTATCACAGTAATAAAGGAATAAAGGAATGGTTTAAAGTTTAAACAGCAAAAACGTTGAGCTACTAGAACATTGTACACAGATAAAGTGGTAACAGTGAAATCACTGTTTTACTCGAAAAAAGCCAAGCATAAAAACATTCTTACTTTGGCAATTGTGGCTTTATTTGAGAAATTGCTAAAGTGCAATGAACAACGTAGTATGCAACAATAAGATGCACATTTTTTGTAAACACAAACATTATGTATAGTCTATCTTTAACTTGTGCAAACTGCAAAGTTGCAAACATTCTGAAACAAAATAATAAAATAAATATCTAATACTGAGGTGCATTGACCAAAGAATGCATACTTGAATATAAAGTATGAAACAAACATGACACTTGGAGTGTGTTGAACATAAAAATGTATAAGACAATCCCAGAATAAACACTGTATTTGGTCTTGGTTAGTTAGGTATTTTACACTTAAAGCCCTGTTTTAAGATCGTTTCTGATGAAATAGAACGGTTAAGATTGAAATTTGGACAAATGCTGTTGTCCCGAGAATTTTAGGTTTGTGTGTTACTTAGCACCCACACAATCATTCATAAAACGTATTAAACATTCGTTTACAAAGACATCAAACTCTCCGAGTGGTCAGGGATGTTCACTGATATGCTCACTCAAACATCGCTGCAAAATATGCTTTCCAACAGGTTTTATCCTAGTTTTTGTCCGACTCTATTGACTTGACTTGGTACAAAAACTACCATTAAACCCTGTGTTGTTGTTGTGTGGTGGCCGGTGCTGGGCGCACGCGATAGGAAACAGCAGCATTGCTGATACTTATTTTTAGCTCAATACAGACCGATTTCACGCAAAACAGGCATAAATTACATGCATTGTGAACGTCAGACTTATAATCATTTTCGTTCCGTCTCGTCAACGAAAACTTGAAAACGTCTCGTCATGTTTTAGTCACCTCAGAGCTATTTTTAGCTAGTCATCGTCGCGTTATCATCATAAAAAATGGTGCGTTAACGAAATCATTTCGTTATCGTCATCACTGACGAAAACATCACTGGTTTGAATTTAAGTACGGTAGGCAAATGCTTAAAGGGATAGTTCAACCAAAAATTTAAATTAGCCCATGATTTACTCACCCTCAACAAGCTATCCTAGGTGTATATGACATTCTTCTTTCAGATGACATCTATCACATCTTTCCATGATAAAAGTGCGTCTGTCCGTGATAAAAGTGCGTCTGTCCATGATAAAAGTGCATCTGTCCATGATAAAAGTACATCTGTCCATGATAAAGGTGCATCTGTCCATGATAAAAGTGCATCTGTCCATGATAAAGGTGCATCTGTCCATGATAAAGGTGCATCTGTCCATGATAAAAGTGCATGTGTCCATGATAAAGGTGCATGTATCCATGATAAAGGTGCATCTGTCCATGATAAAGGTGCATCTGTCCATGATAAAGGTGCATCTGTCCATGATAAAAGTGCATTTGTCCATGATAAAAGTGCTCTACCTGGCTCTGAGGGGTTTACTTATCTGACCTTCTGAAGTGAAGATCAGATAAGTAACCTTAGGTCAGGTTATTCTGAATGGAAATTAGCTGATATCAATTTATAGTGCCTAAATAAGAGTTTGTTTTCCTATTACATATTTCTGTTGTTTGACCGTATTATTAGCAAATGTAGTTCAGAGTAGTTGTCCAGCTGTGAAGAATGTCTGAGGCTCATTCCTTCTGTTGATCTGTGCTCAGTGACAGGACAGGTTCTGCGCTGTGATGCTATTGTGGACGTCATCAGTGAGATCCAGATAGAGTCCACCACGCGTGAGCTTCACCTGGAGGATTCCCCACTGGAGCTGAAGATCCATGCGCTCGACTCCGAGGGTGAGTCTTCACGCACTTCTGCACACTCCTGCACACTCTTGTTCTTTTCTAGCTTGTATCGCCAAGCAAAAACAATACTATCTGTTTTAAAAGGTAATTAACATTACAAACTATAAGGATGTAATTTTGTTGCAATATACCACTCCTGTTTCACTTTTGAATGAAATAGGATAGGTAAAAAGTTATCGTAAAATGTAAACTTCTATTAAGTCCTCTTGTAGTAATTTTTTTAAACATGTCATTATGGTAATCAAAGATGAGTTTTAAAGATTCAAGCCTTAAAATAGCTTGAATGTAACTTGACACCCTTGCCTCATTTAGTATACACAGTCTATGAAAATGCAAATGAGCCCCGTCTTCACTCACCTCAGCTCAGAGATCCACTCGTTGACAATCACACGTTGAACTTATTGGTTACAAGGTAGTTTGTGACGTCAGAAACACCAGCGATTTCACACCGTGTTTTTTAAGGAGAAAATACTCTGCAATGGTGTTGACTTTGCATATGGTTTGTCTAAAAGCATATTAAAAACACCACATAGACACTTAAATAACATTTAAAAGCTTAATTTTCACCACAGGGGGACTTTAAAATCAAGTGGCATTGTAATAATACATCTGTCTGGATCTGATGAATGATTTTTGTTGGTTTCAAATTGTTGGAGGAATTAAGATTTTACAGTTTTTTCCACAGGTCAAACCTCAAGCTGTACATTTAAGCATCTAGTCATCATTTGTATTCATTTCCATTTATACAGGGGTTGGACAATGAAACTGAAACACCTGGTTTTACAACACAATAATTTGTTAGAATGGTGAGGGCCTCATTTTGCATCCAAATACAGCACCAATTGACAGATAGAAGTCCTTCACAGTGACCAGAAGGATTATGAGCCGTTCCTCTTCCAGAACAGTGTCCAGGTCACTATATGATGCTGGTGGACTCTCTCCTCCAAAACACCTCAATAATATTCAGATCTGGTGACTGTGCAGACCATGGGAGATGTTCAACGTCACTTTCATCTTCATCAAACCTTTCTGTCACAAGTCTTGCTGTGTGTGTTGGTGCATGATCATGCTGATACACGGTTTGAGCATCAGGTGCTCATGATCCTCCAGAAGGGTTTGGTAGTCCTCGGCAGTGTTGTGTCCATCAAATACAATCAGGATTGTCAAGATATTGGAGCTCAAACCATCACTGATCCACCCGTGCTTCACTCTGAAGATTGGCCGCCAGGCATATAGATGTGAAACCTCCAACATTAGCCAGTGTTTCAGTTTCATTGTCCAACCCCTGTAGATGTGAACAAGTTGATTACAAATCAACTTGTACAACTTACTATACCTATTCTATGGCTAGCATGATCACAATTTCTTAAATTACAGTTTTTTTTATTCGCTTTGGTACTATTTTCACAAGTAAGGTGTACATTTTCAAAACTCTTAGTACAAAAATCCAAACTGATCATACTTGTAACGCAGCTAGGCTTTCAGTCAGTTGCACATGTTTTCAGTCCACATAATCATTATTTCAAATGCAAGATTATTGTAATATGTAATGAGAACATTTGGTTTAATCACTGAAACATAACAATATGATCTTCTTTCAGTTTAGTACTTTTAACAATCAGTTCATCCAACAGCAAACAATGAAAGATACATGTTTCAAATCGGCCTTAGAAGTGCTGAAATGAATATGCTACAGTAGTATGAAAAACAGATTACACAGTTTTACTGTAACATTAGGTAATGCACTTACAGTACCCAACATTTACATAATCTATAATTTCCAAATATCCATCATGTAATCAAGTGAAGGATCAATGAAGACATCCTCTGCAATCATTTACAGTATATAGTGGCCAATTGTGGTTACCACTATGTGAAATCAATTAGCTATAATGAGTATTCATCATGTGTGGTTACATGTAATTTACTGTAAATATTCATACAAACACACATTTTATTTCTGTAGTTCTCAAAATCCATATACTGTATATTGCTGAAATGAAAATCTATAGGTTTACCAAATGATTAATTGATTAACCATTAAGATCTGTTGGATTAAATAATAGACAAAAGTATTAAACTGAACAAAAAGAGATGAAAATCAAAAGTTTGATAGTAAGAGCTTTATGAAAGGCAGTTACTGTGAATGAAACAATAATGTAGATGAAACACTTATTTTGTGTTGTGAAAATGATACTTTGTGATTGTGTGAATTGTACTAACACAGTTAAAAACATGATTAAATGTTTGAAAAAAGTGCACTTTTGATGATCTGTTGTGATATTAGCACTAAGAGTTTTGAAAATGTACACCTTACTTGTGAAAATAGTACCAAAGCGAATAAAAAAAACTGTAAAGGAAAAGAGCGTCATTACAGGAATGAAATATCTGAAAACAAAATCTTACGTAGTTTGGTATAATATGTGATTAATATTTCATGGAAATCATAATAACACTCTAATACGTCATTGACAACTATACAAACATACGCACACATAAACAGCTGTGAAGCTTCCAGGGTGACTCTGACAGTGAAGAAGGACTGTACTGGTGTCATTCATGTACAGTCTGGGTAACGTGTTCCTCATTGGCTCTTCAGGGAACACCTTCAGTACTCTAGCCAGTCTGTTGTTCGAGTGGACTATCGTGAAGGACGCCGAAATGGCAGGTTTCCCTGATTCCTACAACACCCTACAGTAAGAGCTCACGTTTCCTTCACCAAATTATGCTGCCTTTCACTTGGTCATCCTGTTTTATCACATTTCCTCATGTCCTCATGAAGGATCTATCCTTCACATCCTCATTTTTACATTAATTTTATAAGTCGTCCCCGACGACTGCGCTCTGTTCAAGCTTGCGGCCCGTGTCATGTTGCCGTGTGTGTGTGTGTCTGCAGGGTCCTGAGGTTTGCAGAGTCGGCATACACTCCTCCAGCGTATATCTCTGAGATGGAGCGAGTGGGACATCAGGGCGACATCATCCTTGTTTCAGGAATCAAAACCGGCCATGCCAAACTCAAAGCCAAAATACAAGAGGCCATCTATAAGGTCCATGTCACATGTGTGATTGATTTTATACTTCATATGAATAGATTTTTGGCCATGTTTTGAGAATAAAGATATTACAGCATCGTTAGCAAGAGGGGTGTTGTGCTCATGAATGTGTTCTTTGCTTGTGTTTTCAGGATGTCGGTGCTGCCGAGGTCCGACTGCTGATCCTGGAGAACATTCTCTTGAGTCCTGCGTATGATGTGTATCTGCTGGCTGGCACCTCCATTACATATAAAGTCCAGAAAATCCGTCAGGGAAAGATTACAGGTAAGCTTTGGTTAATTTATCAATAAATAATTGTCTCTTTGGTAGGGGTGTAATGACACCCTCATGTCACGATACTGAACTCACAATATCATATTATTCCAATACTCAAAGACATATAAAAAAATGTAAACAAAAATATATAATGTTGATTGAAATGGTAAATTTGGTATTACCTTGTGTGTTTATACATTTATAAGACTTGGACTTGGTGCTGGAAACCCAAAGCACAGGACAATAGTGACATCAGAATAACAATATTCATGATTCTGAAGCTGAAAATAGGATTATTTTTGATGAATATGCTTTCACTCTTTCACTGATATATTTAAAATAATGTAGGCCACTAATAATATTAGTGCTAACAGAAGATATTTGGCATAATCAAGACCCACAAATATTCCCGCATTGTTTTATTATACATTATATTCAACATTATATACATCAGTTTAATGTAGAACCGACACTAAAACAAAGTAATTTTTATTTTGGATGAACTGTACACAATACATATTGTCACTATCCACAAATTATTGCGTTTTTGTATTATGATATATTGTGACATGATATATTGTTACACCCTTACTCTTTGGTTATTACAGTGTGTTTGAGATTTTTGGCCAAAAATAACAAACTAATCAGGCTATAATCCATTACCAATGTCTAATAAGCGGGTCTAATAATAGAAGTTAAACCTGCACTATGACCATGTAGGATGGCGTTCCTTTAAGGAGCCGGATAACACGCCCTCTCTCTAAATTATCAATACATTGATAATCACTATAGTTTTAACTAAAATTTTGGTAAAAAATCTAATAGAACCAAAATGTCCAAATGGGTTGTCGTCGATGTTGTGTGGCTGAGTGTGTCCTCCTCACTGCAGAGCTGTCCATGCCCTGTGATCACTATGAGCTCCAGCTTCAGAATGGTGTGGTCACCGCTAATGGAAACCCTGAGGCTCCTGTCGCACACCTGGACCAGAGCAGCTCTACAGTCTTTGCCCTTCAGCATGGACACACCAACATCGTGCTGGACCACAAGAGTATCCTTCACACTGGCCAGCTTCAGTTACGCTTATTGCTTGTGTTTCCGGCGGTGTATTTGATGACATTACTCTGAGGTTTCCTTGATTCTGAATGCCAAGATCTCGGGATGCAGGGCGTTTCCCGACTTCCCAACAGCACAATCTATGTTGTGGAGCCTGGATACTTGGGTTTGTCTCTTCATAAAATCTTCAGGAATATGACAACTTGTTATCTAATTAGGATGATAAGTAATTTAATAAGATGTTTTAGAATACTTGATTGACTATAGTTGATTGAAACTTTTTTGTTTGTCGTCTTCTCTGCTAGCATTCAAGATTCATCCTGAGGATCGCTGGGTCCTTGAGACAGGGAGGAAATATGAGATTTTCATTGAACTGTTTGATAAGTCAGGCCACAAGCTTTATCTGTCTGACGTAAGTTGACTTTGGACTTTTAAAATATGTCTTTTTTTTTTTATTCTTTTCAATATAACTAAATGCATCTTCTGCTCATCATGAGTAGAGTGATATCTGAAAACTTCATAAATAATTACTAAATCACTACACTCGCTTAAGGGTTAGTTCAACCGAAAATCAGTGTTTATATGATAATAAAAGCCTACATTTCATATGTTCATTGCATTAAGTTATCAGAAGACTTTTCAATGTTTTTTTTTTTTGTACTTTTTAATGCATGGAAGTTTTGGTTGTGTTGACTTGTGGGTTTGGAACAACATTAGGACGAATGACAGAATAAAAAAATTGCTTTTAAGGTAGATCAATGTTTCATTTATTATTAAAAGATTCACATAAACTTTGATAAACACAGCTACAGAATAAAGTACCAGCTGCGCATCAAAAAGCTCATGTGACTGCCTCAAGTCAGTGGACCAATTAACTTGGATGATTGGCTGTTATTACCTACTAGTGAAGTTATGGTTTATGGGATACTCAGTGGTTCAGATTGCACATACAAAAAACTCTTAATAATTTATTAAATTGAATTAAAAAAAAACTACAACAGTGGTTTCCTCAATGGCTTGGTGTGAATGATGCTTCTGTTCTTTTGAACATATGAGATGTAAATGGTTATTTATTAACCAATTGTTTTTACAATATTTTTAGTGTGAATTAAATTCAAAACTTTTTTTAATGAAAACACATATTTTCACAGAATATCCGTATAGAAACCACATTCCCTAGCGAGTACTTTGAGGTTCTGGAATCGTCTGTTAATGGATCTTACCACCACGTGAGAGCTTTGAGACGAGGTCAGACTGGCATTGATGGCACACTGAAAGCTGTTGTCGATCAAGTAGGTTTTTGTCTTGTTACAGGGTAAACATTTGTTTTCTTTAGCATTTAAAATTGTACCTGTTACAAGGATCTTCTCAGTGTTGGTTTATCAACCTTATTCTAGTTTGTTGTGACTTCGTGTGTGTCTTCAGGCAGGAAGTGTCCACGCACTCTCTGTTCCTGTGCGTAACGAGCAGGACGTGGAAATCTACGACCCCATCGTCCTCAGACCCGCCATCCTCACCTTCCCATGGCAGCCGAAAGAGGGAGCCTACCAGTACACCATCCAGGTGTCGTGCGGCTCTCTTTTCTTTGTCAGACATTGATCATTTAGCATTGTAAAGTTCAAAAATACATAAGAGTGTGTGAATCTGTTCTTATGTGTGTGTGCATGAATGTTATGTGTCTGCTTCAGGCGACTGGAGGGAGTGGGAACTTCAGCTGGTCTTCCAGTAACGCGGCCGTTGCTACCGTCACAGTGAAAGGCGTGATGACCACTGTCCGGGACGTCGGCGTCAGTGCAGTCTATGCCCACGACGTCAGAAATCCCCTGCACTATGGAGACATGAAGGTGTGGCCAACGCTCATGCTATTACAAATCAAGATGGGTTTAGTTACTGGTCTAGATTTATCATTCTTGATTTTTTTTTTTTTTTTTAATTATTAATGTTTTTAAATAACTGATTGTGTTTGAGCATAGACATTTTGAGCTCTTCTCTTAGATAATCTGCTTTCTGAAAATAAAAATGATTTTAAACAATGAATCAAAGTAATATTGTAATCAGAATTATTTGTACAAATTGAAATACTGTTGATTGCCACGAATATAGCCTTTGCTGCTGATATGATGTTAAATCATAAATTAGTGCTGTGCAAAGTTTGTCTACGTAATATACTGTAGGTGTGTGTTGTGTATAATCATTTTGTAAATACAGTATAAATACACACACATGCATGCAAATGTGTGTATAATTATTTTGTATATATAATACACATAGTATACACGCACATCTTATTTAAACACAAAAGTTTTATTTTGGATGTGATTAATCGTTGCTCAGCCCTAAATGAATGAGTAACGCGTGAGCTCTGTTGCTCCTGCAGGTGTATGTGATCGAGCCGGTGGGCATGGAGTTCAGCCCGTGTGCAGTGGAGGCCCGCGTGGGCCTGGACCTTGACCTGCCGCTGCGCATCTTCGGTCAGCTAGCCGGAGAGAGGGTGACACTCAGTGACTGCTCACACTTCGACATGCAGGTGGACATGGAGAGCCACAGCTTCTTCCAGCTGCTGGAGGGTGAGTTCACTTCACGCTAAACAAACAGATTCAGTTTCTTGCCTGGAACTGGATCATTCACCCACAAATCAATCTATTACTCTCCATCGAGTTGCTCCAAACCTGTATGAATTTATTTCTTCTTCTGAACACAAAAGGTATTTTGAAGAATATGGGTAACCACTGTTTACTTTCACTTATGACATACAACGGTTTATAACAGGGTTCCCCAAACTCGGTCCTGGAGGGCCACTGTCCCTGCAGAGTTTATCTCCAACCCTGATCAAACACACCTACCTGTGAGTTTCTAGTGATTCTGAAGACCTTGATTAGCTTGCTCAGGTGTGTTTGATCAGGGTCGGAGCTAAACTCTGCAGGGACAGTGGCCCTCCAGGTTTACAATGAAATTTTGACATAATTTGGGGTATTTGTCTGTTCAAGTGCAAGAAGACATGAAAGAGACTCCATTCAGCATTTGTTATGTGCAAGTGCTTTAGAAAACAGAATTGAGATCTCTTTCTAATCTTCTTGTGCTTGAATGGTTTAAAACCACATTAAATGTGTACACAGGAGTCACAGGAGAGGAATTAAATGTAATTTTATAACTAGTATCTGATTCCTGACCTTAAGCATCCGATTCCGGCTTATTGTGCTTAATTACTTTTTGGGATTTTTTTCGATTTATCACACTAAAGTGTTAATGATTTTTAGTACTGTGCTAATGATTTTGTGCTAAACGATTTATATATATCGTCATAACTCCCAGCCCCACCTGAAGTACAAAGGTCAAATCTTTTTTTAAACAACAAAAGACGTGCGGGTTTTGCATAAGAATGTGAACGTTTTTCACAGCAGTTGACTTGAAGTGCCGAATTAATTCTCTAATGTGAAAATCACAAATAATGTCTTGATACTCCGTTTGTGTTATTTAAGAGTTACAAATATGATTTTGTTGTATTAATATTGGCAGATTTAACAGAAGCAAGCAAAGTGTTATGCTAGTAATAAAAGTGTGTGGAGTTGTACTCTTGCAGTATTTTTTTAGTGTGTGTGTGTGTGTGTGTCTTCAGGTAGACTTGCTCCAGGTCAGGGCCACTGCAGCGGGGTTCGTGTTAAGGCCTTGACCCCTGGTTACACCACCCTGTTGGTCAGCTATACCCATAGTAATGTTCACCTCAGTGCAAAGATCACCATCGCTGCCTACCCGCCTCTCAAGGTAAGATGTTTGAATATACGTTTAAAGATGGAGGAGTGAGCCGTGACCTGTAGATGACGTGCCTCCTCGTCTTCTGCAGCCGGTTGACCCCGTGGCTGTGGCTGTGGTGACGTTGGGCTCCTCTAAAGACATGCTGTTTGAAGGAGGCCCGAGGCCTTGGGTGCTGGAGCCATCCAAGTTCTTCAGGAACCTGACGGCTGAGGACCACAGCAGCGTTGGGCTGTCTCTGCAGGGCCCTGCCTCGCGCTCCTACTCCCGACACCTGGTCAGAGCCACGTGCAGAGCTCTGGGAGAACAGGTACATCTCATGTCCTGCAGACATTGCGTCTTCATCTCATGTCCAGTAGCTCCTTCCCAGCACAGGTCCGGACTGTAATTTTTAGAAACCATCCATCAAGGCTGCCATATTACTTTGTAAAACGAAAAAAAAAAAAAAACCTTAACTTTTAAAATAGTCATCAAAGATGAGAATCTTGGGCCCAGAGAGCCAAAAGAGTGAATTTATTTATTTATTTGTTCCCAAAGATTTACCCAAAAACGTAAATATTTCTGAATATAAAAAGGTTAACTCAGATGTATGCTATTTTTAGTGTATGGCGCATAGAAGGCACTGAGAAAACGGGCTTTACCTCTTATGCTGGGTACACACCAAAAGATTTTCAAAATGTTATAGACCACACACATGAGGAGAAAAAATCCTAGATTTAACCGTTTTGCCCCTATAGTGTGTGGTGTGCCATGATGTGACAGCACAAGACAGCACACCACACACAAAAAGTTTTTCAACCAGAGTCTACACTGTGAACACAGGAAATCTTGCAAAATCTCACAAGACTTCAGAATAGTGTTTGGAAAGACCACAAATTAAGCCAAGTTTCGCTAAAAAAATCGAACTAGTATTTATTTGGTTATACAAATGATCAATATGCCTATAATAAAACCATGGTTCATTTTCCATCTCTCTCTCTCTCTCACACACTCACACATACACCTATCCTTATATGGAATGTTTTTTTTATACTGAGCTAATTACATTTTCTGAGCCACAAATCAACAAGCTGATCCTCCATCTCCGCTGTCCACATTAAGTTCATGTTGTGTTGCGCTATGACTGTGTTTGTGATGCTTCCGTCTTCCATCATCTCGCTTTCTGATTTGATATTGTTTCGTTTCATGTGATAATCTCCAGAGCGCGCACGCGTTTGTACTCGGGGTTCCCCCCACACATTAGGATTTCTGATCGTAAATATTCAACATGTTGAATATTTACGATTCGCGATTGGAGTGGCTCCGATGTTCTTCCGAGCAGGTTCGTGCACTCTTAACACACCTCACACCAAGGGAGAATCTGATATGATAATCTGTAGAACCATCAAGATAATCGGGACATACCTAGGATTGTTGGAAGGGGGAAAATCGGCCAAAAAACAGCCCGATTATCTTTTGGTGTGTACCCAGCATTAAGAAAAGTATGGGCCATTTTTATATTTTACTCAAAGAAATCAACTATTAGATTATGTACATTGTTTGTTTTTTAATAATCAAAACTCTTATCATGAGGACAAAACAAAGTTAAATAGTAATTTATACTTTTTTTTTTCTTTACTTGCCTTCTCTATATAATTTTAATGCTCTTTATATGCTGATTATTAATGCTAAATGTATGAAAACAACTTGTCAAACCTTGTTTAGTTAAATGATCAGAGTAATCTGTATGACATGTACAAATAATTGTATTCGCTGCATTCTTGTTTTCTGCTGTGTTTCAGTGAAAGGATCTGTTTTGCTTAGCACCGTGTTTCTGCTACTGTTGTTAAAATAACTGTGTCATCTGCAGCTCTTAATGTGGCGCTTTATAAGCGAGGGGAAGAGAGAAGCAATGTGTGCTTGAATGAAACACTTTTAGCTCTAGACATAATATTATAGATATAGCTCCGAAAGATCATTACCATAAACAACCCAGAGTGCTTGTGACGTGAACCGCTTTGTTAGAAATGGTAGAAACGGTAAAATGTGTTCAACACATTTTTATGTTTTTTTTGTTTGTTTGTTTGTTTGTTTTTTGTTTATTTAAATTATTTATTTGTTCTTTATATTTAATGACATAATTATGTCCCACGATCCAGTTGGAACCAGTCCGCCCTTTGAGCAACACTGCTCTAGACTGTCCACTAGGAATGTGGATTGATATGATTGAAATGTTTGAATAATTGTGTCTCCGCAGATCTTAGCAGTGACTGTTGGGAACCAGCCCACCATGACGAACCCCTTCCCTGCAGTGGAACCGGCTGTTGTGAAGTTTGTGTGTGCTCCTCCATCACGCCTCACACTGACCCCCATCTACATGAGCCCTCAGCTGGACGTGTCCTGCCCTCTGCTGCAGCAGAACAAACAAGTGGTGAGCACCCAAACGCTCAGTGTCTGCAGGCTGCAAGATATACATGACCTAAAATAGACCTATAATGCCCTTTCACAAGATGGAAAATTATTCTCTGAAGTCCCCAGAGTTTGTGTGTGAAGTTTTAGCACAAAATACGCCATTTTTTTAAAGCATGTGAAAATTGAAAAAAATTGGGGGGAAAAAACCCCATAAAATTTCAAAAACTTTTAGCCTTTTATGTTCAAACCGGACAATCGAACAAAATGGAGAGACTCAAGAAGAAGTGACGACTTGTAGAGTAACAGGACATTTTATGAATTGTTAGTTGATGAATTCATGTATCTTCTAGTCATTGATTAGCATATTCTGTCATGATGATCTATAATTACGTTCCTGTGGGCGGGGTTTATGTAAATTTTGGGGTTGGTCACTAACCCAGGAGGAAGCTTGTGTAGTTCCTACCAGCCGTTTGTTGTAATCCTTAAAAAGCGATTTCTGTAAAAGCAAATATCTCCCTTTGCTTTGAACTTTGAGCGTTTTAACTTTGCAGATGTTGTTTATGCTCAAACATCAACATTACACACTAACTACAGTTAGAAAAGTGAAATCATAATCAAGCACCCCTTTAACATGAAAGAAGTTCAGTGTCATTTGTGCTCGTTCTGCAGGTGCCCGTCTCCAACTACCACAACCCCGAGCTGGATGTGTCGGCGTTCGACCAGCAGGGACGGAGGTTTGATAACTTCAGCTCGTTGAGTATGATCTGGGAGTCCTCTAGAGTCTCCCTGGCCAGCATCGAGCCGACCATGCCCATGAAACTACACGTGCACGAGGACGACAGCAAACAGAAAAAACTTCACGGTACCTTTTAATGAATACTGAGAGATCATTGATAATTATGGAGTACACATATGAATTAGGGAAGGATGGCATGGCAAAAATCCTACACTGAGGGCCAGATGTACTTACCTTTGCGAACGCAGCGTTAATAGCGCCATGGCCAAGACGCAGAAAGTGCTTGATGTGAAACCAAAGTGTGCATGTTATGTACCAAACCTATAGCCTGGCATGCCAGACCTACATCAAGATGTTAGGTCTGGGAACTCATCATTGACCGGGCTCAATCTGAGGGGCGGGATAAACGGTTGTCTTTCAAATTCTCTCTGCACACAATTGGATAGTGCTTCCACAAATCAGAGCAACAAAGAAGGTGACGTAGTAAGCGGAGCACTAATCATTAAAAGTCTAAAGAGTTTTATAACTAGCCTACAGTACATACGTGTGAGAGAGAAAGAGACACTGTGTGTGTGTTTGTGTGTGTGTGAAAGAAAGAGACAGTGTGTCATTAAAAACATAATATCATAGAGAATGTTTAAATACCAATATCTTACGAGGGAAATGGAGGCTGAGTGCTGGAGATTCGGGAGAGGTCTGCCTTTACCGATCAGAGCGTGCGCTGACATGGAGTAAATAAAGCCTTTATACTTGACGTGTCCGCATGAGCAAGGCAAAAATGAAAAGTTGATCGTTTTAGCCCATGCTTTTGCCCCAGTTTTTTTGTAACAGCGCGCGCTGCGCCGTATCCGAGGATGAACGACTTCAAAACATATATGTCCGAGCTTGCTCTGACCGTCGAAACTCTGTCGTCATTATGTTAAGCCCACCCACTTATACGATGTGATTGGCCCGTCCGGAGTTGGGTTTTCACTGCTAAAACCTTCGTCGAGTTGCTAGACCACACTGAAAGTGAAATGATTTACGCGCAATTGTATGGGTCATTTATTATGGGTAATTATGCAATACATAATTAGGCGCAGTTTACGCTTACCCTCCTATCTCTTTATGTGACACTTTCCCCTTGACCATCCCATGAATGCATATGCATGACACGAAAAGCGCATTTTGCCATTTTCAGTTCCCGAGACGGGCAGTCTGCGCTTTCCTCTCGGTGCGTCCCGTTCGTACATACCTCGCCATGGTTTTATATGCACTTTGTGAAACAATTACACCTGATGTGCGCACAAAAGCATTAGTACATCTGGCCCTGACTCATTTTATATAGCATATATCACAATAAATCAATTTTAAACATTAAAACATGAGCATAAGATTGATATTAACAAAAAAAGCCAAATAAAGTCACCGTTATTTATATAGAGTTTTTTACTATATAGATTGTTTCAAAGCAGCTTTAAAGAGATAACAGGAATAATTTGTTTCTGCTGTACAGCAGAGCTAGAAGGAAATAGCATCACAGTCCAGCTTAAGTTCAGTGATGGTTCGTTTTTGTTGTAAAAACAAAAAGGTGTATGCTGTGTGTATATATATATATAGCGCTCTGGAGAAAACAGTGATGTCCTCGTCCAGCTCAGTTCTCAAATCATATGTCACCAATAAGCAAGACGGTGACATGATAGTAGTACAAGTATCAAAGTATGAGGAAAGCATAATTGCGTACATAAAAGTATCAGTTTTGACATGCCTATATCGCACATAACCGTTATACAGACAGTGGTACTGAATTCTATTTTCTACATATTTAATAAACAGGTTCACACACTTCTACTGTTACACAGTCATATACCACCATACTGCTCAGCCCTGATGTTTGTGATGCATGTGTGTAACACGCATGTGGTGTGTTCCCCGCAGGTCACCAGACGGTGCTGGTGCATCATGAGTCAGGTGTGGCAGCGATCACGGTGACCGCGGTCGGCTATCAGACGCCGCACCTGGAGCTCGCCGCGGTTCCCAGCGGAGTGAGTCCTTCTTCCTTTATATCAAAATGCTTTTTAAACCACAACCAAATCCACTATAAATCATCTCTCTTATCTTCAGATAGAATAGAATACAAGATTGCAGTCGATATGCACTTTTATTCTTTTATCTTTTTTTTTACCCAAAGCTTTGAGGCCAGTTCACATGTGTGGAATGTAGGGCTGCAACTAACGATTATTTTGATAATCGATTAATCGGACGATTATTTTTTCGATTAATCGATTAATCGGATAAAAAATTTATTTCATTTTTTTTTTATTATAACTAAATAAAACCCTAAAACCCTAAAAACCACACTCTTTTGTGTGTTAAACAATCTACTTAATACAGACAACTTCATTATAAAGAAAAACAACAAATAAAAAAATATATATATGACCATAACCTATGACAAAAATGCTATTGTAAACTAGATTAGTGGATAACTCAGAAAAACTTAGCCTAAAAATATCACAAGTGCACAATAATTTTATAAAATCTGAACATTTAGTGAAAAAAACATTCCTTAGTGGGAAACAAATAAGAGACAATAAGTGTAGCACTAACTCTGGTAAAACGTTGCACATTGCTCTTTGTATTGTTGTTATACATTCATGAAAAACATCGTAAAAATCAGATGCACAGCTGTTTTAAATGTAAAGCACAGCTGTTTAGTGAGGAAGCAAAATATAATAGATAGGACAGAACAAGAAAGGCTATTAATAAGCTTTTATTGCGCAAAAGTATTATGACATGATCATGAAAGAGCTGCACAAAGTGCGTATGCGCATCGCGAGCGCTGAATGATGCGCTTGACGCAACACGGAGTCACAGGGCGGCGCGCAGCTCTTTAGTGTCCGCCGCATTAAAGTTAAAAGCACCAAGGAAAGAGAAAGACATATTGACTGTGTATTATACAGTCTCTTTCTCTTTGCAATAGTTTATTAAGCCTTTTCTTTTAACAGTTTTAAATTTCAGTTAGGCTACTGTGCACGTGAAGAACAATTATAGTGCGCCGAGTCTACTCTAGTGTTGTGATCTAACAGACACTCAGTAGAAAGTGATTAAGTTACAGCAATAAAAGTCTAGCAAGATAGTCATTATATTACGAAACCATAGACCTTTATCTACGGATCAATTATAATAATAACATTGAATCATCTTGGAAAGAGTTTCATCATGTTAACTGTTGTAACCGAACGCGACGAGCTGTTTGAACACCGAATGGAGAATGACTGACAGCCGCAGTGGAGGGAAAAGCTTTGGTTAACTTTAATTTAATGACTTAAATACATTTCTATCTCACATTATACTATAGTATGGCTTCATAAAGTATACACGATTAACGTAGGTCACCTATTTTGGTTTCAAAACGGCGAATTTGCCGAAAGGTGAATGATTTTCGTGTATGCTGCATATTGATAGCGGTTTCCTGATGCCCGCAAATTAGTTCAAACTCACGGAATCAAGAGCGCGCATGCGAGACAGAAGATATGCTCCAAACCGTCCGTGTTGCGCGCGCGAGACAGAAGATAATGTGCTCCGTTCAAACAGTCGGTGTTGCGCGTGCGAGACAGGGTAGAGCGGCGAGGGAGAGAGACTGCGTGTGTGCCTCATGAAGCGCATGTAAAAAGCGCATGTAGCATGTAAACAATCCCCGTGACGTAATCAGACCAACTAATCGATAATGACATTCGTTGACAACGATTTTCATAATCGATTATAATCGATTTTATCGATTAGTTGTTGCAGCCCTAGTGGAATGACTCGTTTTTAAAATAGTTGAACTTTTTTTTACTTGAGCCCCAGGTTTTCAAAATGCTGTGTCATTGCGTAGACGTGAATGCAGCGGTCAAACATCCGTCTGGCAAATGTAACGAGAGAAAAGCTAACAAATTCTTTAATGAATTTTTCTAATAACTGTCAGGTTCAGGGCACTGAGTAGCAACACACAATGATGCTTGCTTTTTAATGTGTTTTTTCTTATTGGAAAGTTTTTAATTACGATAACTATTGCTAACCAAATAAATATTTATTGTATTAATATTACATGGGTTAAATTGCGAAGCTGGCACAGAGGTGTATAATTACAATGTAAAGTTACTGTGGCTGTCTTGATTTTTTTTTTTTTTTAATTTTTTTTTTTTTTTTTTTTTTTTTTTTTTTTTTTTTTTAAGCCTAAAAGTTTGTGACTGCGATGTTATTTCTGCTCCAGCTCTCTGGTGCACAGTCAGTGTCATTTCGCAACGTCATTTCGTTGACTTCTGATGCATAGAGTTAGCAACGAGAGTCCATTTGTGCGCTAGAGCCGACCCTGAAGGGCCCTGTGATGTGGGTTCGGTGGATCTCTGGTTGGGATTGAGCAATCAGCATAAGAGAGGGCCTGATCCTCCACTTCTGGAGATCATGAGCCACCTCGTTTCCTCAGCAGGAAGTGACTTAGTCTCTCTAACCACACATGACCCAACACAATTACCGTTGCCACAACAGAGCGAACAGCACAGGAAGCTGAAACGGCACACGCTAGCTCTGTGCTAACGCCTAGTCAGCAGTTTACGGTGACTGGCAGACGCTTGCTGATGAAGAGGAGCTTCAGGTTCATTTAAAAGTCTCTTCTTGGCACCAATAGTCACACATATAGTGTTGATTCTATTCAAATCCTGATTCTCCTAACATGTTTCTAAGATAACGATAAGGAAAATACCTCTTACTCGTACAAGACGATATGTCAGCTAATTTTTGGCATTGGCAAGTTTTTCTGTTTGGGTGATTAAATGTTGTGAGCTGGACTTTTATTTTGACCGTATTGAGAACCAAGACACCAATTCTGTATTCATTAGTTTCCCATCTTTGTTTCACAGATTTGTCTATTAATCGATAATCAAACTTTTTTTATATATACTGTTGCCATTCCGGAAATCAGCATTTATATAATGAAAGAAGTCATTAAACACCTGTTAAACATGTAATTCCACAAACCTTCCCCAACTTTGGTAAATCCTGCTGAAGAGCACTCTGTAGTGAACTTTTTCTTCCAAAGTGGAAAAAAATCAGAAACACAGACCAGGAGACGTTGAGGTATCTTTCACGCAGAAGTTATTTATCTGTAGTCATCTCAAAAATCGTCTAACTAAACTAAAATACAGAACTGTTCTTATACAGTAATCTGACTCATTTAACTTACAATAGAGAGACCAGAACAGACAGGAACCAGCAGGTTTGTGACATATAAAGTTTGTAATCCTGTACAGTCGATGTGCACAGCAGACCGGCCGGCACTGGACACGCATTTCTTTTTTAAAGATTTCTTAATAAGATTACAGAATCAAGTAGTTGCTATCTACATACATTTTCAAATAAATATTAGCTAAAATCTAAATATAATTACAAATCGTATGTTATTTACTGTTGTTAAAATCAAGCTTTGAATGTTGTCTATGTGGTGTTTTTGAGATGCTTTAATTGGCATCAGCCAGCAAAAAAAATCCAGATCTGTGGACGACTGCCTTTTATTCATACATATTGGATCGTTTTGAGCTTCAGTGTAAATTGGATCACTGATGTGTGTTTTATTTACATGTGTGTGTGTGTTAGTTTGATCCTCTGAGCCCCGTCTCGGCCACGCTTGACCTTCTGTTAGTAGAGGACGTGAGGGTGACCCCTGACACCATCACCATATACAACCATCCTGATGTGGCGGTAAGACCTCTCTATCACACACACACACACACACATGCTCTGCCTGAAAGAGCTTGTCCAGTGTGCCTGACACATACTTCTCTGCAGGCGGATCTGACTCTTCAGCAGGGCTCCGGTTATTTCTACATCAATGCAAGCGTCGGGGGGATCGCAGATATCACGTTTCAGGAGTCCCAGGGAATTGCTCAGGTAACTTCTTAAAGGCCTGATCCAGCTTCAGTAGGAGATGAGCTCGATCGTTGGAATTTTGTATTGCAAAAAATTATTTCAACTAAACATTACAACATAACAACAAATTTTGTGTTTTAAATTTGTACAGGTTAGTTCCAAGTGCGAGAAGACTAAAAAGAGAACTCAATTCAGTATTGAAGCACTAATCAAAACTCAAATCACCCTAAGAAGAAGAGGAATTAATATTTGATCCCATGGGTTTAAGTTATCATTGACCTGTAACTGTTCTATTGCCTCTAAACGAGTGTATTCTCAGTGTGTTGACAGTGTATTAACCAGGAGAGCTTATACTGAACATCTCTACTGAATGAGTAGCCTTTGCTGTCGTCTAGAGCAGACTCAGGCCTGGTTTCACAGACATAGATTAAGCCAGGATTAGTTAAATACATTAAAGTATTCCACCGACTCTGTGAGCTGACTGCACAATGTAAATTGGTTACAACTTGTTTCTTCTGCACACTGTTAAATCAATGTAGTTTTGAATCTTTTTTCATGCCATTGTGACTCAGGTTGTCCCAGCTCAGGCGGGGGTCTTGCAGGTGATGGTTCATGACCTTTGCTTGACCTTTCCTTCCCCCGCCACGGCTACAGTTCACATCTCTGATATTCTGGAGGTTTATGTGCGCGTGGTCGACAAGGTTGGTGACATTCACTCAAAAAAAAAAAACTTGAATTAAGAAAGTCCACTAACAAATCCGTTTTGAAAATATAAAAGCCTCATTTCATGCATGCGCACTTTATGATCTTTTATAAAGTGGTTTTGAAGTCAGAGGTTAAATTCAGATTACACAATCATTTTAGGTTGAGATCGGCAAGTCAGTCAAAGCATACGTTCGGGTTTTGGACGGCAACAAGAAGCCTTTCCTGTCCAAGTACTTCTCTGTCATGAACCTGAAGCTGAGGGCAGCGTCGTCCATCATCTCTCTGCAGTGGGTAACCGATTCCTCTTTACTCGATGTGCTGGCATCTGTGAAAGCTAATACGCTTCTGTTGTTTGTCAGAACTCTGCCCGATTCATCAGAGGAAGATTCGGCCACTTTTCTGGTCAAAGGTCTGGTGATCGGACAAACCAGTGTGTCTGCTTTCGTCGTTGACAAAAACGGCAGGAAGATCACCTCTGCACCCCAACAAATTGAGGTAAGCTTCTTCTGTGCTGTCATTTACAGCTTTTTTTCAAAGGATTGTGTCAAAGTTTTTTCATAGTTACACTAAAAGCCTGTTGAATGCTTGATTCTGATTGGTTGACACTCTAAGGTGTGCAATTATTGTCCAGTAAACACACAGCTATTGTTGTTCCAGGCAGGTCGCATTATAACATTAGTTGACCGCATTACAGTTTTATATCAGTTCACTAAATTAATTCATTTATTTATAAAAGTCTTTATGAAAAAGTCAAATGAAACCCGGTATTAAACGGGCCCCGGTACTGAATTTTGAAAGACCGCTGTATCGATACGGTACTGGAGAAATTAAGGAAATACACGTAAGTTGGGCTAATATTTATTATTCCTATAAAGACGTTATCTTGAACATGTTTATATCGCCAGCCATTTCTATATATAAACTATATTTTAATTAAACCATTTGTCTGTGATGTAAATTTGCAATTCGCAGTTCAGAAGAGAGAGAGAGCGATCTCTCACGCAAATCCACAGCACGCGCAACACGACAGCCCTTGCTTAATGAGTGACAATGAGGACAGAACTAAACATTCAACGTGGTTACACTTTAGATCTGGGATATTATTCTAATATATTTTGTATTTTGGCTTCCAAATATTATAAAAAGAAGATATTTGAGATAAAACCGTTAAAAAACGAGACGATCTGTCCAGCTTAACTTCCTTTACTTCACAGCACTGCGGAGCGCTGTCAGTTCTTCCTAAAACCTAAACGTAACCGTCAGAATCCGCACGATCGGCGATTGTTGCAAAATGCTGTCTTCTACTGTTGCAAGATAAAAAAAATGGCTATTAAAAACACAAAAACCTGCGCAAGAGACACTGTTCACAAGGCGGTGCGCACTCCGAATCGGAGTGCCACGAGACAAGAAAAGTAGCCTGCCTATACTTGGGCTTCGTGCGTCCTTAACTATCAAATATACATAAAAATGTCAAAATGACCAGCTCTGAGATTCACTTAAACACAGTTCATTCACTTAAACACAATTATGTCTTAAATGGACGTAAATAACAGGGAGAAAATGATGGTGCATCAGTCCCCATTAGATCTGCACTCGGTCTTAAAGGGGCAGCAGTCTAATAGCCTAAACCTGCTGACGATTCAGCCATTAATGCAAATCAAACAACAAAAGGCAGAGAAAATCACTCACAGCTTTTGAATGAGTAACTTTAGATTTAATAAGCATTATTCTATCTATGATAAACTATACAGTGCTATTTTATATTTGATTACTAGGTTTCTTTTCAGACAGAAACAATTACCTGAAAAGATATGTTAGTAGACATTCTTGAAATTAAAGCACTTTGTATATAATTTGTATCTTTGATTAATTGTATTCTACGGAGCCCCTCTAGTCCCACTTTGGTAAAAACAATTAATTATAACTATCTTGTGGCCTCAAGATAGTAACTCGTGGCCTCAAGATACTAACTCGTGGCCACAAGATAGTAACTCGTGGCCACAAGATAGTAACTCGTGGCCTCAAGATACTAACTCGTGGCCTCAAGATAGTAACTCGTGGCCTCAAGATAGTAACTCGTGGCCTCAAGATAGTAACTCGTGGCCTCAAGATACTAACTCGTGGCCTCAAGTTAGTATCTCGTGGCCACGAGTTAGTATCTCGTGGCCACGAGTTACTATCTTGAGGCCACGAGTTACTATCTTGAGGCCACGAGTTAGTGTCTTGTGGCCACGAGTTAGTATCTTGTGGCCACGAGTTACTATCTTGTGGCCACGAGTTACTATCTTGAGGCCACGAGTTACTATCTTGTGGCCACGAGTTACTATCTTGAGGCCACGAGTTACTATCTTGTGGCCACGAGTTAGTATCTTGAGGCCACGAGTTACTATCTTGAGGCCACGAGTTACTATCTTGTGGCCACGAGTTAGTATCTTGAGGCCACGAGTTACTATCTTGAGGCCACGAGTTACTATCTTGAGGCCACAAGATAGTTATAATTAATTTTTTTTACCAAAGTGGGACTAGAGGGGCTCCGTAGTATTCTTGTGTTTGTACTTGTTTTTTTCTTATGTGTCCTTTTTGTATAAACAAAAAAAGCCTGCTCACTGCTGCATAACAAAAATATATTTTACTTCGTTTTGCTTTTTCTATTTTACGTTTCAAAATATAAAGTTTAATTATGTTCTTAAAAAAAATAAATAAATAAAAAATAATAAAAAACACCAAAAAGAAATGATAAGAATACCGTTAAAGTACTGGATCGATAAGCGGTATCGGTAAGAGTGGTAATACCGATAAAACCTTAATGATACCCATCCCTACACTAGGATAAAAATTACAAACTATATCCATATCTATATTTTGTTTTCACCACAAAATCACATTTCAATTAAAATAGTAAGTAATATAAAAATAACACGATTAAATAAAATGGATGATAAATGGTAAAATGATTGAATAACTGAATATAAATGATGACTGTAAATATTAGCTAAAGCAAATGGGAAAAAATACACAATTAAAGATTGCCCTGTTGAAGCACTCACACAGGTTGCTTATGAAAACTCAGGCCCCGTCCACACTGCTGTGTTTTCTAATGCACTCTGTGTGCGGGTTGAGGGGGAAAAAAGCGTTGAGCGATGTAGCAAATCACAGACGTGTGTTGTTTTCTTGAACGCAATGGCCAATCAGAAGCATTTACTATGGACTCCCCTCACCGCTCAAAACAGACTTTTTGTTCAGTGCTGAATTCTGTATGATGGCAAATCCTTTAAAGTCCCCGTGAACCGGAAGTTGCAAACGATTTGTCTCCAGTGCTGTGACGTATTTCCAAGTGAAACGGAATATTGAACAGAGGGCAGGGTTTTACTCTAGCGCTCCTCCTCTCCATCTCTCGCTCCTAGCAAACTAACGGTTTGAGGGGAGTGGTTAAGCGTTTCCCCACCCAAACTGTGAAACCTACGTCATCAGAAAAAGAAACCGTTCCAGACCGGAAGTAACTTTTCAGATTTTGATTAAAGATTACTAAGGTAAAACATTTTTTTAATATATATTCACTTGCACGGATTAATTGTTCACCACAAGACTAGTAATATGCGCTAACAAACTAAATAGGTTCAATTTTGATTTCACAGGGACTTTAATTATAACAAACACAGATATTATGAAAAGCTTCATTGATAATAACAGATGTGTGAGACTGTGAGGAACTGTCAGCTTTTTAGGAATTATTAAAGGAGCACACAGTCATGCCAAACCATGCACGCAGGAGCTGCTTGCTTTTATGTTGTAACAATGGTTTGTGTGTTAATGCCTTAATAACAAATAATTTATCAGGAGCAATTATGCTGATGTGTATGGTAGCGATATGTAGGCTAACTTGAAAGTATTTGGAGGTACAGAAAAAAAGTCTTTTTGCGAGCGGGAGCGGGACGAAACATAAATGTTGCGGGCGGGAGAAAGTAATATAGAAAGTTGAGAACGTCACATCGACCCACGTTTTAAAAAATAGCCGGGTTTAAATCATTTAATTGATTAGATTTGTTTTCTTAATTTCCATATAATATTTTGTGTTATGGGATCAAATCACCTGGATATTTAGAGTGAGAACATGCAAACCTTGGCATACAGTACTAATTTAGAATACAATATCTTTTTTTTTTTTTTACAAGATGGGAAAAGTTGAATTAATTCTTGTTTACTTGTGTTCATTTAATTTATTTTTATTTTAGAGCATTCACAGAGCAGCCCTCTGTGTCTAAATAAAGTAATAAAAGTCCCAGAGTTAAAAAATGTGTAAACTGTGTGCGACTTGGTATGACTTGATGACCAATTTGCAACTTGACTTGACTTGACAAAGAGTATGACTTGAATTGACTTGACACTTACAACAGAATGACTTGACTTGACTTTGACTTGTAATGTTAAGACTTGGACTTGACTTGAGACTTGCATTTAGTGACTTACTCCCACCTCTGGTGAATGGTTACGTGATCTGCGTTTTCAGTCGTTTTAATGTGGACGGAGATCAATTTTAATACGCAGATAAAACGCTGGTGTGGATTCGTTTTTAAACGAAAACGCAGTAGTGTGGACAGGGCATCAAATTGGATCTCAGATCTTCATGGTGATAATTCATGGTGATGAAAATTCCTGTTTTTTTCCGACCTGTAGGTCTTCCCCCCCTTCAGACTGCTGCCAAGGAAAGTCACTCTGATTGTTGGAGCAATGATGCAGGTACGTAATTATTTATTCCAGTAGTAACGAGCACTAAAAAACGAGACCACATAACTCCAATTCTTTATTCTCTCCATTGGCTCCCAGTACATTTTAGAATTCACTATAAAATTTTATTATTCGTTTTTAAAGCTCTTAACGGCCTCGCTCCATCTTACATGTTAGACATGCTGACCATTCGAAATTATGGTAGGACGTTGCGGTCGTCCAATCAGCTTATGCTGGAAGTGCCCAGGTCAAAACTTAAACACTGGGGTTGACCGCGCTTTTTCCGTTTCTGGACCTAAGCTCTGGAATAAGCTCCCCAGTGAGTTGCATATTATTACTGACTTAGGCCTTTTTGAATCAAGACTAAAAACGCATCTTTTTAAAATGACCTTTATTACCTAGTAGTGTGTTGGCTCGTTTATATCGATTTTATTTTATTTTTTTATTTATTCCTCTTACTTTCCTCTCATTTTTTATTGTATTTGTGTTATCGGTAGTTTTGATTTGTTGTTTATTCTGTTGTAAAGCACTTTGGTTCACCTATCGGTTGATTTAAGGTGCTACATAAATAAAGTACATTTACATGTTTCAGTTACTTTCCTCTTGTCTAATGCACTCAGATCTGATTTGTAAATGAGCTGTTGAACACACAAAACACTAGCCAATCCTGCATTCCAGAATTAAATGGTAAATGGACTGCATTTATATAACGCTTTCACAGACCGACTGGCCACCAAAGCGCTTTACATTTTACCTCACATTCACCTATTTACTCACTCATTCATACACCGACGGCAGGATGTAGCTGTGTTTACACGGTCACCTTTTTTTAGTTTAGAGTTAAATCATTCTGGTTGATGAAACCGTTTACATCAGGGGTTCTCAACTCCAGTCCTCACGACCCACTGCTCTGCATATTAGCCGTTTCTCAATACCAAGTACGCAAAGCTCGGAGGACGCAAGTCCGGTTCTTCTGCAAATGGAACAGAGCGTACTTGATCGCGTCACTCAGCACGCTCTGGCTACTCCGGTTATCTCTTTATATATATTTTAGGCAAACAATAAAACGAAATATGCTACAACTCTGCCTCTTTTCATCAACAATAAAACGAAATATGTTATAAAATACCACTCTGCCTCTTTTCATTAAAAAAAAAATCAACATATTAGCCTAATGGCCATGTGGTTCAGGCAACGCGATTCTCTTCACTACATGATCTTTTTGTTTTCATATTAAAAATATGAAACATTGATTTTTATTGACATTTTGTCAAACAGAGACAGTGTTGTCATTTTATTTTATTGTTCATATAGTGAAGATAATGTAAAAATGTTGTTAAAGTTAAATAACCTAAATATGTAAAGTTATGAAACTTAAAAAAAAAGAAGATTTTTTTTCCATGCAACAAAGTTTAATGAGACCAAAGATAGACTTATACACAAGACGAATTATACGTCTAGTTTATCCACTTGATGAGAGATCAGAGCCAGCGGCAAACGTCAGAAGGCTTAGATGTAAGAAATCCCAAAACATTAGATGCATTTTTCAAATAGGCGCTATCTTTATAAATAAACCACAGATTTGAGATTTAAACAACTACATTCCCGCCTGAAACACTCTTAAAATTACATTTCATGACACGATAATAGTAGTATTTTGATATTTCGCGGATTTTCTCCTCTCCTATTGATCCTTGCTGGTTGGTGCGAGGTGCATTCTGGGATACCTGGCTATCTCAAGTCCACACAAGTCACCTCTCGATGCATCCTCGGTAAACGGGGCGGATCAAGAACACATCCGGGGATTTGAAGTGGACTTGGCTAGATGTGAACTTTGAATTGGAACAGTACTTGGGAAGTGACTGATGTTTCACAAGTCCTCGAGAACACAAGTACAGACAAGAATGCATATTGAGAAACGGCTATACACAATATGCAGAGCAGTGGGTCGTGAGGACTGGAATTGAGAACCCCTGGTTTACATGAAAGCAAAGTAATCAGATTTATGATCCAAATCTGAATGAATCTTTTGATTTGCATTCACAATACATGTGCTAGCCATTGGGTCTCACACACTAACTGTGCATGTGTGAAATTTATGTTCGTTTTCAAATTATTCATGATTCAGAACCATTGTACAATTTTTTTTTTTTTTTCCCAAAATTTACAAAAATATTTAATGCAAATTACTAACCTCAAGCATGCAGTCACTAATCTAGAATATATTGCAAATTCATTAAGAACAAATTGTGAATACGCATGTGTTCTCGCTTGACATCTTCCATGAGAAGTTCTCTTGTGCTTATTAAAATGTCCACACAATAATTACTGAATAAGACTGTCTTGTGCTGGGTGACTGGATGATGGTCGAAAATAGTAACACAAATCATGTACTTCAGTGCTGCCAGAAGCACAGCACTCAAGCGCATTATCAGCTTGGAAAGCCAATGACATGATTTATAATGTTTGTCAGTGGTCCTTCAACCATTGTTTTAATTTCTTAATGTTATTGAGCTACATCTGTGCATGACACCATCGCTGCATCAGTGTTGAACATGTACAGAACATCCCCGTTTCAGAGTAAAAGAAATACACAACCACTTTCAATCTCCTCATTTCATCTTTTGCATTCGTTTCGAGTTCGAGTGTTTCTTTAACACTTGTTTTCATGTGCCGCCTCAAACAGCACACGTCTGTCCGATGTCTCTTGCTCTAAATATACCAAATTAAACCCGTACTCCACCCAGTATTTCCCAGTGGAACTACAACAGACATTTAAATAGAGCATAATGGCTCTTACTGCACATCTATGATTGTTTTCTGATGTCATCTGTTCATTTATAGATCACATCAGAGGGAGGGCCACAGCCCCAGTCCAACATCCTCTTCTCTCTCTCCCGTGACCACATCGCCTCAGTCAACAGCCTGGGTCACGTCCAGGGCCTGTCAGTGGGCAACATGAGCGTGACCGGTGTGGTTCAGGCGGTCGACACGGAAACAGGCAAACTAGTGGTGGTGTCAAAGGTGATGCTTCTTTACAGACACATGTGAACACATATGGTTGAAACCATATTGGTCTGTGTGGTGAATGACTTCCAATATATATATGGATAGTTCATCCAAAAATTAAAATTGTCATCAGTTGTTCTCACTCATGTCGTTGGACTTTCCAACAACATGAGAATCTGAAAGACTTTCTTTCAGCTCCAAAACACCAATGAAGATTTATTGTAACCCGAGAAACTTCTCTCCCTCCATTGTAAGTCTATTCACCCAAAACTCTGACGGTTCAAAAGAAAGAGATTGTAAAATAAATCCAAAAGAAATTAGCGGTTTATTCCAAATCTTCTGAAGAGATCCAATCACTTTATAGGATGAACAGTGCTTCGGGTGAACAGACTTACAAAGGAGAGACAGACATCTGTCAGATTTCCTTAAAAATATCTTCATTTGTGTTTCAAAGAAGAACGACATGAGAATGAGTGCTTGATGACAGAACGAACTAACCCTTTAGATATCGTTATTGACAGGATCAAGTGGACATTGAGGTGGTGCAGCTGAAGGCTATAAGGATCCGAGCCCCCATCACCAGGATGAAGACGGGGACACTGGTAAACACACATCATGTTTGCGCAGTGTTTTGTCTGCAGAGTATGTTGTCTTGTTACACAGCTTTGGTGTCTTGCTGTAGATGCCGGTGTATGTGATGGGCCTGAGCAGCAGTCAGACGCCCTTCTCTTTCGGGAATGCTCTTCCCAGCCTCAGCTTCCACTGGTCTGTGACGAAGAGAGATGTTCTGGACATCCACACACGCCACTCAGAGGTCAGGACAAAACCCTTGCACAGTGATGCACACTGCTTGTGTTCACTATTCCTGTGTTGATTTTAGCTTCGTCACTGCTGGTATCTCAATATCTTACAATGTTATTTAAACGATGATGATTTATTGAGTAAAACACTCAATGTTTTTGCATTGGCTCTCAAAACATTTAAAAAAGTGAAAGAAAAGGAAAAAGACATGAACAACTGTTGTTTCAATGTACATTAAATGTATCATACGTAAGTGCTTACTGCAAAACACTAGTATAATGTATAAATACTAGTATAAATGAATAATCTAGACCCATCCTTTTTTTTAAAAATAAATAAACACCAATATAAAATTAAAAAATATAAGGTAACACTTTATTTTACAATGTCCTTGTTACATATGTTACATGTTACCACACATCTTACCATACTAATAACAGTACATTATGCATAATTACATGCAATTAACCCTCAAACAAAACCTAACCTAACCCTGTAGTAAGCACATGTAGTAAAAATATTAAAATGACTCAGTGCTTAAATATATAATTACACTGAAACAATGACACCTTAAAATAAAGTGTAACCCTTTATTTTAATGCGTCTTTGTTGCACTGTAATTATACATTTAATAATAATATTAAGTGACTTCATGTACTTACTATAGGGTTAGGATTAGTGTTTGGTTGAGGGTTGATTGCATGTAATTATGCATAGTTTATAGTTCTGTCAGGTCCATTAAGTCAAAACACATGACAATAAATTATTAGGAAATTGTATTGAATAAAATGCAATTCAAGTTGATAATTAAAATTGGGCAATATGTCTCTGTTCAGGGAGTTCTCTGACCTTTCATGAACACCATGAAATAGCAGAGAGTCAGAGGACAGCAGCAGGTACCTGGCAACCTCTTGTGAATAAGACAAGAGATGGAATCAGACAATTAAAATGCTTAGAAATCTTTATGAATAAATACGAACTAGTTGGCAATATGTTTCAGTTCAGATGAGTCTCCTGACCATTCATGAGCACCATGAATTTAGCAGAGAGTCAGAGGACAACAGTAGCATTAGGGGAAATTTTGCTACAACAATCCTGCATATTGTACCTTTATAACATTATTTTGGTTATAGCCTTTTTTGTTGCTGTTTTTAGTTTGAGTCAGTCAGCCATCAGTTTTTCTAATACACTTAAAGGACCACAGGTGGTAAAGTGCACAGCAACAAAAAATACAAATAACTATCTTTAACTTTGCTTTTTTCTGGGATACTTAGTCAGATTTTGTGGGCATTTAGAGAGGAAGAGAGGTAGATAAAGAGAGAGGGGGGATGGAGATTATTAGATTAATTTCGCTCAATTTCTTGGTCATTTTTTATTTATTTATTTATTTATTTTTTGCAAGAACCCTTGCAAAATTATTTTAAACAGATTAAGAACGCCACCACTACTGTACTGGTCACATCTATATGGTGTAGCAAATGCAACATTTAATAATATACATAAAATGTATTTAAGGGGGCCGAAGGCCAATTTAGCTCAAAGGGAAATGATTCATTGATTTGCAATGAATCTATGGAACCGAATCACTGAACCGAGCAAATGACTCGCTTAGAGTTCATTTGAACGGGCCGTAATTATAACCAAATCTATAGTGAAACACTATGTCTTAGCAAGGTAACTTTAAATCGAACAGTACAAGACATTAAATGTGCAAACACGACACAAGAAGATTTAACTTTTCAAATATATGGAAACCTTTATTAGCTATTCTAAACACAACTCTAAGGTCTAAACATAACTAAACATAATCACGCACACACATACACACATACAGTCGCGAAAGGGAAAGAGTGAGTTGGAAAGAGTGAGAGAGAAAGTTTTAACTTTCTATATGGACGTAAGACATGACCTGAAAGGACCACCAAGCATTAATTTGAACCTTCGTTTCTTAGAGAGGTTATTCAATTAACATTAAAGCACCAGTTCAGTTAGAGCCTGGAGTACTTGCGCTTTGTAGTGGCTGAGGGAATTCCCTTTGTCTGCGTCGCGTCGAAGGGGGGTTTCCCGGCCGGGTCCGTTGCGTGGTTTGTTGTCTTTGAAGTGCAGGGATGGAAGTTTCGCCGCTGGTCACGTGTGATTAGCAAGCGAATGAGAGTCTTTTCCAGTTCGAAGCGCGTTGCAAACTTAACTTTGAAACGAGACTTTTACGAAAAAGGAAATAAAGGAAAGAAATGAAAGTAAGACGAGTCGGATGGCTTGACTGAGCTGAATTGTAACCCTGATCTTGATGGGTTATTCGTCTGCTGGTCGAATTTGGTCTAGTCGATGTAGAAGCATGCAGACATGTTCTTTGTTTCAGAGATAAGCACGAACAGAACACTCTCTTGCTGGTTTTAGAGAGAGGCACTAACTTAACAGTTACAGAACTGAACGAACTGAACTGAACACAAACAAAAAGAAAGAACATAACAAAAACAAAACATGAGGTCTTGTTCCTTTGTTCGGATCTTTAACTTAAACTCTAGTCCAACCTCCAAGAAACTTCAGGCCAATGGGTAATGGCATGATCTCAGGAGGTGGATCTACTTCTTTACTTATCATAATTTATGCATGGTCTGTGAGCTGGTCTCCAGCACTTAGCAGAGACAAAAGACCATGGTTTAAACCTTATGATTATTATAATCATAAAACAAAACCTTTTACGCAGATTTCAATCAAGCCATCTTTTGAATTAGGAGAATACGGTTCGTTTAAGAGCAAACGAGGCATTCACACTTCTAATGGTTGTATAACAATTACAAGAGTTAATAGTTAACAACAATTACATGGTTATTATGTGATCTAAGCATAATAACACATGAAGTGTAGGAACAACAACAATTATGATTGGTTATAGGTCCAAGAATTGTTCTGTGGTGAGTTTATATGATTTTATGTGTGAGATCTCCGATCTCAACAGTGAGGTCGTGGTAGGTTCAAGGAGTAGGGGTAGAGGAAGGTGTTCTGTGTAACATCTCTGTCAGGAAATCAAAGAGGTCTTTGTTGTGAGCCTCTGTTCCACCATTTTGGAGCTGACCTGTCCCAGTAAAACATTAGCATATTGACACGTTCGTCCTGTTTAGTGCCCATCTCTTGGGCCTGTGGGGCAATAAAAGTCCTTATCTGCAGACAGCACGGAGTCGTTCCGTGACTCTGGAATGTGGGCTCCAGACTTGGAGTGTTGAAGCCATGTGAATTAATTCCCATGAGAGATTAATTTGATTAAGTTGTGTTTGATTCGCCTCGATTCTCTACAATGGTTAGATTGATTTGTTTAGATTTGTTTACCATGTACCTAATATAAATAAATAAATCATCTCCAGTTAACTTGCAGAGCATTCATTTAGCACTAAAATGTGTTTTTGAACTCAAGCTGTGCGCTCGTTGCCGCGGTGATCAGTGTCATGGATACAGTGTTTTCTGTGTCTTCACTCGGAGGTGCGTTTCAATCTGTCGCCGTTGCGGACTCTATTCATTCCTATGAAATCACAAAATAAAACACAAACCTGTCCCTGCTTGATGTAGACTGTAACAACTGATGAACATATTCAGTTTTGATGAGAGAAAAAAATATATACGAGTGCGGATTAGAACCCGTGACCTCTGACATGCTTGGCAAAAGATCTCCCATTAGACCATTGAATAACTCAAACCTAAATTGCGGATCAATGTATTTATTTACGGGTTGAGCAGAGAGGCTGCACAGTTTGACAAGCGGCAATGACATGGTACACACATTGCAGATTGCTAATGAATTGTCTTTTTCACACACCTTGTAGAACTGCCAGACAGGTGAAGCCATTTTTATCAGGGCATAAAAAAATTGTGTCGCGAATTTTGCGTCATCTGATTTTGTTTTTTTCTTTGGGTTTAATTGGTCATATATGAGATATGTTGTTAGTATGGTGAATTTTAAAGTGAGTAAATACACAGATTCACCTATACTGAGTATGTACAGTGATGGTCCAGTGGCAGTAATTTTGCCAAGCGTGTCGGAGGTTCTGGGTTCTGATCCGCACTCGTTTCGTTTTTTTTTTTTTCCCTCATCAAAACCGTATGTATATTGATATACAACCACTGAAAAACATTCTCGTTTTTGATGAGGGTAAAAAATACTGTACACGTGCAGATTAAAACCCAGAGAAGCAGGGACATGTTTGTGTGTATTTTGATTTGTGATTTCACCGGAACGAATGAAACCTCCCCAACGGATTGCAGCGCGCATCCGAGTGAAGAAAACACATTTCAGCACTAGATCGCCTCTTATTTAACAAACGAATGCTGCTAGCTAACTGGAGATGTTTTATTTGTATTGGTACATCCGTGCCGTGAGACATGTTTCAAAAGTGGTGGGGACAATATCGACCCTGGCAAAAAGTGGTGGGGACATGTCCCCCCCCCGCCCGTAAATGACGCCTATGGATGAACAACAGATCGCTGATGAGACCGTGTTGACTGCCGATAGCAGCATCTTGACAACTTGGCCATCCAGAACTGATGCTGAATTTATTACTCTATAAATTAGGGATCGACCGATATGGATTTTTTAGTACCGATACCGATTTTTTTCCCATCAGCCTTAGCCGATGACCGATACGGGCTGCCGATTTTCTTGAGCCGATATTTGGAGCCGATACATTTTGCTCCCTCAATTTACATCTTAAAAATAACATGATGTTAACAAATGTTACAGGTCTCAATTTAATAAAAGTAACATTTAACTAACTTCAAAAATTAATATTTAACAAATAGTAAAAACATGTGAGGTAGAACAAGAACAAGTAGATAAACAATTTAAAAAATATTAAAAACATGAAGTAGAACAAAAAAAGTTCAGTGATGAAAATGAATATTTAAGGATAAATTAAATAATTACACTATTGCACACAGTAGCAACCAGCATAATAAAGTGCACAGTGCACACTGTACTTCATTTTAAAAGAAACGAACTATGTACTGCATGGTTTTAATTTTCCTACATAAAATAAAATGAGCATGTCTAGTCTCTAATATTACTGCGATTGCGAGGGAGACAAACTCCACACACCCCAAACCTCAGCCAGGTGAGCGCTGAATAAATCTCCCACAAAAAGCACAGAATAACGTTGGCATTCCTTAATCCTATGACCAGAGTTCGTTACCGTATGCATACTAGGGCTGTCAAAATTGCTCAAATGGCGTTTGCATATTCCCTCTAAAAAACATATTCGAACATCCCGTTGCGCGTTTTGTTGTTGACGCGCATTACATCAATAACAGGACACATTAATAAAAAGAGACATAACTACTAGTATTAGATGGTTTATTTAAGTTTAAACATATTTGACAACGTATTAAAAAGCAAGTAAATCAACTAATGGCCAAGACCGCAGAGCTCACTCTGTCTCGCCCTGGACTCGCTCAGGCACTCTCTCTCTCTCTCGCCCTCACGGTCTCTGCGCGTCGGTTAAATGAACAACAAACAAATGTTGAGTGCTAAACAAGAGTTTTGTGCAAGCAATTTAAGGTTGCGAGTCGCGACTCTTGTCCCAAATATAGCAGGCTTCAGTTCATTCAGTGATTGAAGTTTCACAGTATAGAACCGAGCGCTCCGAGCGAGCTGTGCAGCTGTGGTAACGTTATTAGTCTGCAACCGCGGGCTAGGCTTGCCGCGATAGACGGTGTTGACGGTGTTACCGGTTTTAAGCCCCATCACCGGTGACATCACTTTCCCACCGTGACACCGCGATGTCTTGACTTTTTTTTTTAAAAGTATTCGTTTTTGCTAAAATATTTATTTGAATTAATTAAAAATAATAATTTTCAATTATTTAGTTCTGAAGAGAGCATTATAATTAAAAATGAACTGCGCAACGCGTGCCGTCACGTCACAGATCAGCAAGCATCAGGATTCCATTTAGCACGTGTGGAGACGAGAACGAGTCAAATTACAGAAAAGCAAGATAATGGTGGAAGATTTGGTGTCAAATCGCAATGCAAAAGCGCCTGTTTGGCAATATTTTGGCCAATATATATTAATGTTAATAAATGCCAATTTATAGTGTTTTACTTTTTTTTAGAGTGCTGTCATTTATGTAGGCTAAGGTCCTTTTTAAAGTTTTTATTTTATATTCGTCTCTTTTTATTTGGTTTTATCTTATTTAAACTTTATTTAATTTATTTAGGCCTATTTTGTTTTCTTATTCGTTAATAAACGTTTTATTTTTTTTGGGCCCACAGTTTGCCGATTTTCACTTTTTTCAGCCTATGCATGGGGTTATTTTTATTCGTTCGTTATGCTAATAAAAGTTCTGTCTATATTTTATTCGTTTATTATTCTAATAAAAGTGCTGTCTAAATAAAAGTTTATTGTCAACGAGTTTTTTTTTTTTTGTCCATTCCAGCAATTGACGCTGAATTGCAATTGACGCTTATTTCGAAAGTGAAAGTAGTATGTCATTTATGTAGGCTAAGGTCCGTTTTGAAGTTTTTATTTTATATTCGTCTCTTTTTAATTGGTTTTATCTCATTTAAACTTTGTGTAATTTATTTAGGCCTATTTTATTTTCTTATTCGTTAATAAACGTTTTATGGTTCTTATTTGTTTGGGCCCACATTTTGCCGATTTTCACTTTTTTCAGCCTATGCATGGGGTTATTTTTATTCGTTCGTTATGCTAATAAAAGTCTATAAATAAAAGTTTTATTATCAGCGAGTTGTTTTTTTTGTCCATTCAAGCAATTGACGCTTATTTCGAAAGTGAAAGTATAACGCGCACGCATTTAAAAGCTATTTAACCCCCCGCCCTGCCCTCCACGGTGACACCGGGATTACCGGTGTTGTCACACGTCGATTAACCGGTGGGAAATTTTCCTCACCGCGGCAACCCTACCGCGGGCGTATTTTTCCACATTCAAATATTAATTTTCACCTTCAAAATTAATAGATATTCGAATGTAGAATATTCATAGACAGTCCTAATGCATACTGAACGGATAACCTACACCTTAACTATTTGCAGCTTCTTAATACAATGGCAAGCAGTTAAGTTTTATAGACGAGGCATTCGCGTTTTCCATTTGGACCCACAAACTTGCTTAGTTGCAAGCACATAACAGTTATAGGGCGACGTGTTTCCATTTTCAAAGTGTTTGACAATATTTCAGGAGTCAAACATTTAAAAGATCCTTTGAAAGTTTAAGTTACCATTCTCGTGAAGAGCAGGTTGCACTCTGCTAGTGGAGGAGGGCGGGGCACCACGTGAACTGCAGCATCTCCAGCAGCACGGAGCTGCCCGTGGCCGCCTGTCTATAAATAACGGCGGGAAAAAAAAAACTATCGGCGAACGCGCAGCGGTGTATCGGCCGATTCCGATACACGTAAAAACCTCAAATATCGGCCCGATATATCGGCCGGCCGATATATCGGTCGATCACTACTATAAATAACTACATGTAACATATGTAACAATGACACTTAAATAAGGTGTTAAAAGGTAATAAGGTATTCAAGGTAATAAGGTGTTAAAAATGTGATTGGTGCAACAATTATTTAAAGATGGATGGATAGATCGATAGCACTTTATTATCCTTGTACATGGAAATTTGTCTTGCAATATAAGTTCCAACAATTACAACACACAACTTAAAAAAAGCTAAAAACATAGTCATCAATAAAAACAGCCTCTTTGAAGAACATAACACATGACCTTGTCCAAGTGGCAGGTCTGTTAGTTTGCGTTGACACATTTCTGTGGTGACCTTTGACTCCAGTGTCTGGTGGTGTTGTGCTTCAGTGTAAGCAGTGTGTGTGTAATCTCTCTTGCAGGCATCTGTGCAGCTCAGCGCTGAGCACAACTTTGCCATGAGTGTGTTTGCCAGGACTAAAGGCCGCACTGGACTGAGGGTGGTGGTGAAGGCCACTGTTCCTCTGGCGGGACTTCTGGAAGGCAATGCCCTTGAACTCCATGATGAGATACAGATTCAGGTAGGCGGAAACTCAGTCTGTCATTCATTTGCTAAACAGAAAGCAAAGACTGACTCTTACCATACATTCAACCGTGCATTCAATAACAATTTCAGGTCTATGAGAAACTCCAGCTGTTGAACCCAGAAGTTCAAGCGGAGGAGATACTGTTGTCACCAAACTCCCTGCTGAAGCTCCAAACTAACAGGTTCTTCAGTTCAGATCAACACGTATAAATACAGATCAACATGTATAGATACAGATCAAGACGTATAGATTCAGCTCAACACATATAGACACAGATCAACACGTATGGATACAGATCAACACGTATAGATACAGCTCAACACGTATAGACACAGATCAACACGTCTAGACACAGATCAACAAGTATGGATACAGCTCAACACGTAGAGATGCAGCTCAACACTTATAGATGCATAACAACACGTAAAGCGCAGCTCAACACGTGTTTATCCAACAGCTCAACACGTATAGATACAGATCAACACGTATAGATACAGATCAACACGTATAGATACAGATCAACACATATAGATAGAGATCAACACGTATAGAAACAGCTCAACCTGTAGAGATACAGCTCAACACATATAGATACAGATCAACACGTACAGCTGGCTTGCTGTGTTTGAACTGGACAACATCATACATCCATGTTGCTTTGTCATGAATTTGAGCTGTACTTCCCTACAAAGACAAAATACAGTAAACACATTTTGACCAGCATATCAGTAAAAACCTAGTGTGAAATACAAAACAGGCTACAATTTTATTTGTTTAAGTAATAGTGTCTTCAATTCAAATTCATTAAGTTAAATAGTGTTTTTAAAGTAGTTCACCCAAAAATGAAAATTCTGTCAGTAATTACTCATTTTGTTCCAACCCGTAAGACCTTTGTTCATCTTCAGAACACAAATTAAGATATTTTTGATGAAATCTGAGAGCTGGATCATTCCTGCATACTAGTCCATAGGCTTCTTGAGGAATTGAAACTTGCCGTCCTCAAAGTTATTAAAGACATCGTTAAAATAGTCCAAGTGACTTAATTGGCTCAATCTTAACTTTATCAAGTGACGAGAATACTTTTTGTGCGCAAAAACAAACAAAAATAACGACTTTATTTCAACTATTCACTTCCTTCTCTGAGCCAGTCAGTTAACGTAGTGTGATAGCGTAGAGCTACATCACACGTAGGCTCACTATTGGCCGAAGCTGGTCATGTTTGTGATGCGTGTGACGTACAATAACAGAAGCTTACGTTATTAAACTAGTAACCTGACTCGAGGCAGAGAGAGGGGTAAATAAATAGTTGAATTAATGTTGTTGTTTTTTGCGCACAAAAAGTATTCTCATCGTTTGATAAAGTTAAGATTGAGCCACTGTACTCACTTGGACTATTTTAACGATGTCTTTTCAACTTTTCGAGGCCAGCAAGTTTAAATTCCTCAAGAAGCCTATGGACTAGTATACAGGAGTGATCCAGCTCTCAGATTTCATCAAAAATAAAATAAAAATTTGTGTTTTTTGTGACAAAGGTCTTACGGGGTTGGAACAACATGAGGGTGAGTAAATACTGACAGAATTTTCATTTTTGGGTGAACTAACCCTTTTAACTAAACTGGTCAGTTATACAGAGTTGCCCTGGACAACAGTCATCATTTAGAAATATTTGACCTGAATATATTCCATACAAATCTATTTCATTCTAATTAATATATGTAATGTGAAAAATTAATGTATGTAATAGGTTTGTTACTGCCACAGAATAAAACATTTTAAAAGATAATAGCAAGTTTACATTTACATCATATTCTTAAAGGGTACATATCATGCTTTTAAATCATTCATTTTTACATATAAATCATACCGTTGTGGTCTATATAAAACATAACTGCAATGCTTTGGTCTGAATTCCTCATTATTATAGCTCCACAGGCCCCTTTTCTACCCCTTTTCTGATGTGTGTCTGTGAGCGACCCGTTTCAAAGCGGCCCCTTTAAATAAAAAGGAGATGCGTCATACCCCGCCCGCTCTCCAGGTCGATGAGTTCACGGTCGGTTCAACTCCCCACGTTCGGCCATTATTGTGGTTCGATTAGAGATATACGATTATATACGATACCTTCAAAGAACATTTTTATTCACACATTAATAAAATGTCAACAACAGAAGACTTGTCCATCAAGCCTTACATATTCGAGCCAGAGCGAGCGAGTTGATAAAGACGATGACGAACCTGCAGAACAACCACTTCTTCATATGGATATATTGGTATGTGAGTTAACTGTTTTGTGTTATTAGTGAAAGTCGACTATTTCTCTTGTTAAAACAAGCACACTGACAGGATAAATGAATACGGTCTAATCTTACCACAAAAAAATCTGTATTAACAATATGATACGTTTAAAAAAGCATCAGAAAACAACGCAGCTAAATGACCATTGATGAAACTCACAACAATAATACTGCAGACGTGTAACGTTACTTCAAAACAAAAACAAAGAAAGACAAAGGTACTGCTAAACCATGACCACCGTGTGTTTTAAGAAAGTAAAGTACTTTATTTTTATTAACGATATTTACAGCTTATCGAAATGCTCTGTTCGTCGTCTCCAAAGATAGAAGGAATTTACCTCTCATTCAGACAGAGTCAATCGGCAAACCCTTCTTTATACTGGCGGAGGTTGTTGAAGTGGGAATCCTTGAAGTGCTTCAGGTCACTAACGTACATCCAACAATCAAACATTCTGACTTGCCCTCATTGAGCTCAGACTACAAAATCGGAGCGAGAAATAATAATGGCGGATTGCTCGAAGTGTTGGACCGGTAGTCAATGTCCTTATTTGGCAGTTCCGATGCAAATACGGTGACGCGCTCAAAAAACGTCATAGAGAACAGAAAAATCTGAACAGGTTGAAAAATATGATCAAAACAGAATATAAAGATATAAACGAAGCACCTGAAGAGAATAATTTCATCTTTTCTGTACTTATACTCCAAATATACAGTACTTCTGTACTGTACTCCAAATATACAACAAAATGCATTTAAGGGCTAAAAAAGTGGATTTTGCATGATTTGTCCCCTTTAATATTTCCCAATTGCGTGTTATTTCAGAATTGCGAGATAAAAAGTTGCAATTACCTTTTTTTAATTTTTATTCTGTGGTGTAAACAAGCTTCCATAAATTTAAGTATTTGAGAGATCCATTGAATAATATTGAGTAACTTGAAAGACAAAATTGGTTCAGTTTGTGTATTTCTTTCCGTGTCAACTGTGTGTTATTTCCTGTAGAGATGGTCAGGGGTCCCTGTCGTACCGTGTGTTGGATTGTCCGGACAGAGCTGCTCTCATTCAAGTGGATGATAAAGGTCTTCTGACGTCTGGATCTCTGACAGGAACAGCATCCCTACAGATTAGCTCGCAGGAAACATTCGGCGTCAATCAAACCATCATCATCGCTGTCAAGGTAACACTGCGACATGCATGAAGCTCTGCTAGTGCAATACAGTCTTCAAACAGATGATCCTTTTAGCAAATTTAAGTGCATTTTACAGAACCTAATAAACAGAGAACAAAATAGAGGATAAGTAACTTAAATTGCAGATTAATATTGCTTGTTAAATGATTTGAGACTAATGACTGGCTGACTGCACATTACCAATCTTATATTTATATTTTGTAATTCACACTTGTTCTTAACTGTTTGTGTTGGTAATTGGGAGTCAGCAGTGTTTGTGTATTGTTGTTTAAAGGTGGTGACCGTGTCATACCTGCGTCTGAGCACGAGTCCAGTGATGTACACGTCTAACAGAGAGACTGTGTCCGCCATCCCGCTGGGAGCCGTTCTGACCTTCACCGTTCATTTCCACGACAGCACAGGAGAAACCTTACACAGCCACAACTCACTGCTCAGCTTCTCCACCAACAGGTGCTGCAAACTCAAACCCTCGGCATGACATGACTCACACAGTCTGACATGACATGATTTACACAGGAAGTACAATCACAGAAACTGTTAATGTTTTTGTTTTTGCAGTTCGTGCTATAAAAAGATTGTGGTAACGCTTCCTTTTACAGTACAGTACTTACAGTGTACTTACAGTAGGTGATCAACCAGAATGACACTTACCGCCACGGCAAGTGTAAACAAAAATAAACAAAGATAACAAATATAAACCAGCCGTATTTCAAAGTCGGTCGCGAAATGACCACGAGGTGGCGCAAAGGGACATTTAGCGAAAGAAAAATTTAATTATATAAAAATAGCCTACATTTTAAATAGAATATTGCTTTAAATGTAATCTAAACTTTTATAGCAGAACATTTTATTAATCAAAAGGCCACAGTCAGTGAAATAAATTGGGTACTTTCAATGACGCTATTGAGGAATGAGAAGACTGAATCAATCTTTTTGGTTTAGTTTCGTTTTGAATTGTTCTGTTTAAAAGTTGACATTTCAAATACGTTTCAGGTCTGTGGAGTAGGATATACTTAGGCTATACACTGAGTTTATATTTATGAGACGCGCTCCGCACCGGCGCCTGCATGTCGTGATTATCTATAATTGTTTGCTTTTACTTCTTATGTATTAGATCCAGAGGGCTGTTTCACAAAACCAAGATAGCGGATTAAGCCGGGATTTTCCAGATATCCTGGCTGAATTAAGCCGAGACTCGGTTTCACGAAAGCAGTAGCACATAAGTTACCATGGCGATTTATTCTGTGCAGCTAGCCTGCCCCAGACCAGGCTAACAGCCAGGCTTAGTCAATCCTGGTTCCTTATCTGTTCAGTGAGCGGTCACGCCGATCAGAAACCAATGTGTTTTGTCAGTTATTCCGTTTTGTCATCTATGTGTTTAGCGCAATTTTTATCAGCCTGCATTAAAATACCTCAGATACATATTGGCATTCAGTCAAGTAGCCTACTTTTATTATTGTAACTTTATGATGGTAGCCTACCATTATTATCTATAATAATAATCATCCATATGGGCATTGTTACTGTTCAATTGTGTTTTTTGAAGACTGCTGTTGTTCTAAGTTTGACAGAGTGGTCTTTAATAGGCTATTGTATGTGATGAGGGAATTAGAGAAATGGCTGATAAAGAAGCAAAAGTACTTTTATTATTGTAACTTTATGATGGTAGCCTACCATTATTATCTATAATAATAATCATCCATATGGGCATTGTTACTGTTCAATTGTGTTTTTTGAAGACTGCTATTGTTCTAAGTTTGACAGAGTGGTCTTTAATAGGCTATTGTATGTGATGAGGGAATTAGAGAAATGGCTGATAAAGAAGCAAAAGTTTTGTCAATCAAGTCAGGCAATATAAGTAGCTCTAAACACATGTTTCGTCCTTTACAATGGCATGCCCATTTTTGGATGACATCGTAGATGATGAAGCACTTAGGCCTATATTGAGAAGGCCTTTCAGACGTGAAAGAGTGTTTCGGGACAGGTCCAACCCATTGGCTTTTCCCGACAATTAGCTGCATCCGCTACCTGTGCAGACTGTTGGGTCCCAAAATTTGATCAGACACTTACCAGTCTGCAAAATGTTCTTATATCTTGACCTGTTGCCAGGTGCTCTTTGGTCCAGTCATGTTTGTTTTGTATAAATATTGATAGGATGTGTAACAAAAAAGAGTAACATAAATTAATCAGCTGTCAGATTCACAGGTTACAACATTGACTTCCACTGTTCATTTTTAAGTTTACAGTTGTTCATTTGAGGAAATGACAAGTAACTCCTTGAATGTATAATTATGACGTTTTCAGTAGCGCATTCAGTCGATCCGCTATTGTTTGCCATGCCCTTTCTCGCTCCTTTATAATAGCGGCAGGGCAGTGTTTCCTTTTCTGAGTATGATGTGCTTCGATTCCTCGTAAGTCTCCATTAAAAGATGTTGCTCATTTGGTGTAAAGTATGCAGTGTTCGGTAAGTTACTCTTAAAAAAAGTAATTAATTACTAGTTACTAATTACCTCTTCAGCAGTGTAATTAGATTACTGTACTAATTACTCTCTCTAAAAAGTATTTAATTACTTTTAATTAATAATTACTTTCAAAATCCCATATGAATCTCAACCAGCTGAATAATACAAGGATAGACATGAATCTGTTTTAATTCTTTCAAATAAATACTATAAAATTGCATGAATTATCCTTAAACGGACCAATATGGAGAAGGTACATTATAAAAACATACTTTTTAGCATCAGACAATACATTTTGATGTTAAACCCACTATTGTTTTATGTCTGATTTTATGACATTTCACACTTTTTTTCATACATATTTTACAATAATTCATACGAATTTGTACGAGTGTGGTCGTAATATTTAGACACCTCATAAAATGCATACAAATCGCTGTGAGATCGGATTGATCTATACACAGTAGTATTTACCTCAATTACATCAGAAGTAACTGTAATTAAATTACAGATACCGGTAAATTAAGAGGAATCCCTTACTTGACATTTTCAAGGGAAAAGTAATTAAATTACAGTAACTAATTATTTAGTAATTAGTTACACCCAACACTGGAAGTATGGCGCACGCAACTTATCCTTTGTAGCATCATTGAATCTGTGATGGACTGTGTGGTCTCTTGAAGAAAGCTGTTGACCCACTTATCTGAATTACTTACAGCTGGCTTGACATAGCCGCTCCTCCTTAGCCTGGTTTGGCCTTTGTGAAACTGATAAAGCCAGATGCACTGATCACACTAGGTCAAGCCCAGCTTTATCTCTTATCCTGGATTTCTAAATTCTGCTTTTGTGAAACAGCCCTCTGGCAATTGGTTGATGAAACATTGATTAAAATCATGATAAAATCGAAAGAAAAACGAAATTCACTTTAAATAAAGGCTTTGTGCTTTTCTGTTTGAGGTCTGTGGAAGTTTTAAATCCATCTTTTAGTGCCACTTCAGAGCGCTCACGTCCGAATAATGGAGAACTGTCACGTCTGTAACATTGTTTTTTCCTCATAAATGCGAACACTAAAAATAAAATAAAATTAATATTTTATGTTCTGTGGAGAGCCAGCCCTTCCTCATTCGATTTGCGCCGTGTAATTCACAGAATTACAAAAAATATATATTTTGCCTCCTAAGTTAAAGATTTTTTGTCATGCATGAATGCATGTCTATTTCCTTAAAGAACCCCTATCATGGATTTTTGAAAATGACTGTTCATATGGTGTGGAATATAGCTCTAAGGGAATGAAAACATCCTGCAAAGATTTATATCTGAAAGTGCACCGTATATAAAGTTATTGTCTTTCAAAAGTGAGAGTCGACTCTGAGTCTATGAAATAAATTGTTTTTGAAACGAGTCATTAGCTGTTACATCGTGACGTACAGAGGTCATTGGCTGCGCCCAGTTACTGCGCGCGCAGACGGAAGTGCAAACTTGAAGTCTACACATTCAAATTCTTCATCATAACATCATGTCGAGAAGACGCTGTGTTCTACAATGCAAAGATAGTTCAGCCACGTTGTTTTCATTTACCAGGGACTAGCATGTGAAGAATCGGTGGTTCGAGTTCATATTTGCAACGATACCACAACAGTGGCTATAGCCCGATTGTGTTCTCATCATTTTAATGATGAATGTTCAAAAACATAAATGAATTCAAATGTGGATTCGCAAGCGGTTGTTCCTGAAGGAGGGCTCAGTAACTCACTTACCCAGTGTATATGGATCAGCTTCCTCCTCCGAATCAAAACCTGTAAGTATTATTAATAATTGTTGCGTTTATGGGTTTTGAACGGTTTTGTAGCGTACGCGGGGTGCGAGGAGGGAAGGCGCAATAAGTATGTGTGTGTGCGCGTGTGTGTGTAAGTTACGCTCAGCGCAGCTTCTAGGTCTCCAATGTCAATTTTTTTTAAATATGTGAAATGTTTGTCGCTGTTATTGGAGTTGTCATAAAGGATAGAGCGTCTTGTAGTACTGCAGTGCTTTATCAATATGTTTATGCATTATGCTAGCAAACAATAACTGACTGGGTCTGTCATCTGACCAATCACCGCCGATTAGCGTCACGCAAAGGAGTGGTTTGGAAAAATGAGTCGTTGTACGAATCATTTGGGAGTCGGTGAGCAAATCAGTTGAAAATAAATGCATATTATAAGACAAATAAAGTGTTTTTTATCCTTGCATGCATGTTAAACTGTTTTTGGGAACTCCTAAAACAAAAATAGGAACATTTCAAATGCTATGATAGGGGCTCTTTAATATTAAACTAGTGCAAAGTGCCCGTGCAAAATCAGTTTTTGTGCGTTTTTAGTAATTGTTGGTTTGGTGTGTTTGAGTGCTCATTGTTAGAATTACACAGCACATTCTGTTCAGTGACATTTGTGCGTAGCTAATCCAAACAACGTCAAACTCGGCACTGAACCCATAGCAAGACACCCGTCAAGTGTGAAATCCATCAGACTAACACACACACACACACACAGACGTTCCTGTAATTTATAGATAGAATTCCTGCAATTTATAGATAGATAATGCAAAATAATTCCCGTGTGTTTTTAGCAATTGTTAACTTGGTTTGGTGTGTTTGAGTGCTCAAATGAATAAGCGTGACGATTCGGGGAGCAAATCTGCTTTGTTTGTCCCTCTGTCTCTGGTCCTGCGCTGTGCTTACTCGGTTTGCAGTGTGAGAGGGGGAGTGGCCAGCAGCTAGAGTGGCAAAAGCCAATGTGTGCTTCTTTTAGCGATATATTTAGCGATATCTTTTGCATTTCTAATCCAAAGAACTTCAAACTCGGCACTGTACTTACTCGTGCCCGTAGCAAGACACTTGTGAAGTTTGAGATCCATCGAACTAATGGTTCAAGAGATATGCGATTACAGACAGACAGACAGACATTCCTGCAATTTATAGATAGATATAAAAACGCAGACTGATATTTTTCT